TTTTACCTCTAGCTCTAAATTAATTATATATAAGTAGCTTTTATTACTTACTAGCTAGGCTACTAGGCTTATATTAAATATATATACTTATTTCTTATAGGCCTCTAGTAAGGTAGCCTTTATTCCTTTGTCTTATTTAGCCTCTACCTCTTCTTTTTAGTTATAATAAGGTATTTTTAGTGCTTTCTTATCCCCCTATATTATAGGTAGTAGATTATTAGTTAATAGGCTAGAATAGCCTTAGACTTTTTATATACCTTCTTAATTTCTTACTTACTTTAGATAAGTTAGAGGTAGTCTTTTTTTAGTAAGTATATCTAACTAATTATTACTTACTTTATATTTAGTTATACTACTTATCCTTAGGGGATCTTTAGAATAGTGTTATACCTAGCTATATTACTAACTTAAAAGGTATAGCTTTATATTCCTAAGACCTTTATATTATTTATAACTTTTATTACTACTTTTTTTATTTTATAGTCTAGGGCCTTATTTTTTTATATACTTTAGAGCGCTAGGCCCCTCTAGCTTACCTCTACTAGTACCTCTATATATAATATCCTTTAGTGTAGTATATTTTTATTTATATTAAGATTAATTAGTACTCTCCTTTTTTTTTATATCTTATTTATCTTAGTATAAAAATCTACCTTAAAGTAGTAGTATAGTTTTTTATCTTAAGAGAGCTTAATACTATTAACCTCTATTAGCGTTAGGGCGTACTATCTCTTTAAGTGTTATAGTTATTTATACTTATAGTACTTCTTCTTACTATACCTAGCTAACTAGTGCCTAGGCTTCTTATAGTTATAATAAGTAAGTAGTCCTTAGGTCCTCTCTAGCTAAGGTGTTATACTTTTTTCTTTTTTCTTAACCTTTAGCTTTAATATAAGTATACCTACTAGTATTATAGCTATTAGTGTTAAGTATATACTAGTAGCTTTAGTTAAGGGGGCGTTTATAGTTATTAGTTATACTACTACCCCTTAGTAGCTTTTTTTTTTCTAACCTTACCTTAGCTATCCTCTTAATACCTCTCTTATATAGGTTTTAGTAAGTGTTTTTACTTTTTTTACTATATTATCTAACTTTTAGTAGGTAGCTAGTAGCCCCTTAGTAAGTATATAAGTCCTTAGGTTTAAGAGCACCTAGTTTAAAATATAGACTACTTACTACCTCTTTATTTAGGGGTTAAGGCACTTCTTTTTAACTATTTTATACTTATTAATAAATTATTAGTATAACTAGCTTAAGGCTTATTATATAGTATTTAGCTTTATAGTAGTACTAAAAGCCTATATATTATTATTAGTAACATCTACCTTTAGCTAGTCTTTTATAACTTCTTAAGGCACTTTACTAATCTTACTTTTATAATAAAAACCTATATACTTTCTTTATTTATATACTAAGTTACTTTTTAGTATAGTACTAGTATATCTTACTTTATTATTATTAGTTATAAACTTATTTTTTATTATATTAAAATATATTTCTAACTAAAATAAGAATTCTTATAGTTTATTTTAGTTTTCCTTCTTATACCTTAAGGTAAGTAATTTTTTTAAAAGTATATTAGTATAAGGTTACTTAGTCTTTAGTTAGGGATTATATTACAGGACAATACAGCTAACCTTAGACCTACTTCTTGGCCTTGCTAGTGGATCTATCGGTCAGGCCAATATCCTACCGACCGGTAGGTCCCAGCAGGTGCCCCACTTATCCCCACCTGTCAGCAGTCTATAAGACCAGCCGTTGCCAGCTATAGCCCTTCTAGCTCCTAGATAGTTAACCAATCCATCACCTATCTAACCATATCAAGTAGTAGCACAACTACGTTACAATCCATAGGTAATTAACCCTCTGCCGCCATCAATCAACTCAATAAGAGGCAAATACGCCAACTACTATCCAAGAGCTATTTAATTAGTCATCTTAGAGGCAACTAATCAGAAGCCTATATTCCTTCACCAGCCGGTCGCCAATATGCGCCCACCAGCAGAGTTTTTTGCCTGCCAGCCCGGCCATCGCCAGACCTCCTAACCCAGCTAGAGCCGCTATCCCTCTAGCTAACACCCTTACGTTTAATACCCTTACTTTTACTATCCTTTTTTTCCTCTATTACACTCCTTTTTACCCTCTTTTTTACCTATTAATTTATTAAATCTACTGCTACTAGAGCTACCATTAATTAAAGAGCTTAAATAATAACGTTATTAACCTAAGCCTTACTAGAAGTGTAATACTAGATTTCCCTTAAGATCTGCACTTTTTTACTATATATACGTAAATAACTACACCTATTACTGCTAACTTTACTGTTAAGACTTCACGTTATAGAACGCCCTTTTCTACTATCTACTAGACTACAAGCCCCTATCGCTATTACTATCCTAGCTATCTTTACTATTAACTTCGCTATTACTGCTATTAACAGCCCCTTTACCTATAAGCAAGCGCTCTATATCACTAGTGCTACTAACTCTCCTTACTGCTACAAAACTCAACCTAGCTATTAAGGCTCTTTATAAAAGAATAGTTACTAGAGATAAATAGAGAGATAATAGCCTATTACCACTACTATTATTACTACCGCTAAGAAACACCTTACTACTACTAAGATACACTAGACTATTACTACTAATACTACTACTACTACCTAGCTATATTACACCTAACCTACATCCCTTAGTATATAAGTATATAAAAGCACTAAGAAGGCACTTTAAGGCAGGTGCCTAAGAATATTAGTAATAAGGATTTAGTAGAGGTTACCTACTAGGAGGTAAACCTTAACCCCTCTACTAGTAGACTTAGGAGTAAAAGGTAGTAAGCTAACTCTAGAAGCAACGTGCTTTTAACTATCTACTAGTACTACCCTATAAAGCTGCCTAGTATAGAGGTTAAGATACCTAAGATAACCTTTATAATAAGGATAAGGAAGATAATAAAGATAATAATACTAGCTATATAGCAGAGACTAGTCCCTAGGATAATAATAACAGATTAATCTACTTAACAGGGGATTATTATAATAACTATAATAAATATCCCTATAAGCTAGATTAATTAACCTAGGCTACTTACAGCTAGCCTACTTATAGCTAGCTAGCTTACAGCCAGCTAGCCTTACTAGCCTAGCCGTTATACCTATATCTAAGCCAGCCTACTTATAATAGTAACTAGGACTATAGTAATAATAGTAACACTATTAGAGATAACGCTAAGGGATATAAGGACTTTAATAACTATAGAAATAAGTATAATAATAGATACTCTAAGGGATATAGTAATAACTATAATAACTATAATAACTATTAACCTTAGGTATACCCCTCTATATAGCTATAATAGCTATATAGAAGCCTAAGATCTATAGTTAGATTAGGTTATTACACTACTAGTTAGGTATTTTCCCTTTTTCTTTTCTTTTCTAAATAATTACTATATAATAATTATTTTAATTAAGGGGGGGCACTTATCACAGGACAATACAGCCGACCTTAGACCTACTTCTCGGCCTTACCAGTGGATCCATTAGTTAGGCCGATATCCTACCGACCGGTGGGTCCTAGCGGGTGCCCCACTTGTCCCCACCTGTTAGTAGTCTATAAGACCGGCCGTTACTAGCTATAGCCCTTCTAGCTCCTAGATAGTTAACTAATTTATTACCTATCTAACTATATTAAATTAGTAGTTATCTCTATCTCCTTTTATATATCTTCTATAAATATACTACTTTAAAGGGCCTTAATTTAGTTAATTATTTTCTTTTTTTTTACCTTTTTTACTTCCTCCTCTAGAAAAGCCCTTAGCTTTTTTTTTAATAGCTTACCTAAGTTAATAGCATACTACTTATTTACTAGTATAGACTTAGTTATATTAGGCGTTAGTTATCTTATTATAGTGCTCCCTTATTACTAGGCTATAGTTTAGGATCTAGTAGATATTATTACTACTCTAGTAGTTAATACACCTAAGGATAAGGAGATATTAAAACGTATTAGAGGTAGGGATAGTATTAAGTAAAGGAGTTAGTAATAAGTATAGTTAGGGTTTAATTATAATAATTATTCTAATATGCCTCCTCTAACCCTTATCTTCTATAGAGTTTTCTTTTTTTGTTATTTTTTTAGTGACTAGTTTATTTAGTCTTAGTCTTACTCTAGTGCCCCCCTAGGGCCCCGCTCTGGGCACCTAACAATTGACAACATGGTATTAAAGCATCCTGGAGACGGCATTTTCATGATTTTGATCTGTGATTCCCACAAACACTGCCACTAGAGCCTAGCCCATCGGTACATGACATGGCTCCGCGAGGCCCCGCCATCCAAGCGGAACATCGTGAGTTCCCAACTCGCCAAGCCCTGGTGGTCTAGCGGTATGATTCTTCCTTAGGGCTGTTCACCAGCAACTCGCATGGAAGAGGTCCCAGGTTCGATCCCTGGCCAGGGCCTTCTCTTTTGTTCCGCCTTGCAGCAGGTTGAGCTATATTTTGTGCAAGTATTGCAGAAAAGCCTGCGAACTTGGGGCATCGGTCCGTGAGGAGTCGCACGCTTTTGTGTTGTTGCTAGAAAGATCACACGTCTTACTGCTCTTGGCTAGCTGGTGGCCCACCGCATGCGCTCTGAGGTGTGCACAGCTCATTGATAGTAGGTATTAGGTCCTTGTGTGGAAAAAGGGGACTTTCGGGCGACGGCCGGAAATACCCCCTGTCCATGCTCGGCCGGTCTCGGCCTTAAATGCGGGGGAATCGGGTCAAGATTCGGGGCGGATATCCGACAGTAACCCGTGTTATCTGACCATTCTCCTATCTGACGGATGCGTTCCCGAGCCTGAAGGAAACCAGCCTCGGCCTGCATAGCCGATCCGTTGGCAATAAAGTCTTCTTGGGTCGTTGTTGTGTTTTCGTCAACCCATACAGATTCAGAAACCACCGGCCATCATACTCGTCTCACGGTGCCAACCCGTTAGTCCGTCCGCACAAATCCGTCATAATGTCCCGCACCAAGATTCCCCCCAGCGGCATTTGGGCCCCCGCAGTAACTCTCTTCAACCCCGATACCGACGAGCTTGACCTTGAGGCGCAAACAAAGTACTACTCCTACCTGTCCAAGACGGGCCTCGCCGGCCTTGTCATCCTCGGCACCAATGCTGAACAGTTTCTCCTGACCCGCGAGGAGCGCAAGGCCCTGATCGCCACCGCCCGCAAGGCGACCGGCCCCGACTTTCCCATCATGGCCGGCTGCGGCATGCACTCGGTCAAGCAGGTCCTCGAGCTCATCAACGACGCCAAGGAGGCCGGCGCCGACTCCGCGCTCGTTCTGCCCCCTGCGTATTTCGGCAAGCAGACGACTCCCGCCGTCATCGACCGCTTCTTCAACGAGGTCGCCGAGAAGACCCCTCTGCCCATCGTCATCTACAACTTCCCCGTCGTATGCAACGGCATCGACCTCGACAGCAGCACCATCGCCAAGCTGGCCAAGAAGCACGAGACCATCGTCGGCGTGAAGCTCACATGCGGCTCCGTCGCAAAGATTGTCCGCCTGTCCGCCGAGCTGCCGGCAGACAAGTTCGCCACCTATGGCGGCCAGTCCGACTTCCTCCTCGGCGGCCTCGCCTCCGGCAGCGCGGGCTGCATCGCGGCCTTCGCCAACGTCTTCCCCCGCGTGACGGTGCAGATCTACAAGCTGCACGCCGAGGGCAAGATCCAGGAGGCGTTGGAGCTCCACCAGAAGGCCGCCATTGCCGAGCAGGCCACCAAGGCGGGCATCGCGACCGTCAAGTACGCCGCCTCCGTTTTCACGGCGCCGCGCGCCGGGTTGAAGGGACAGGATAAGCTGTTCCAGCCGCGGAGTCCTTACTTGCCCGCGAGCGAAGACCAGAAGAAGGCGGTGCACTACCTGATGGATGAGCTCAACAAGGTCGAGGAGGAACTTGCGGGTTCCAGTTGAGTCGTTTGGCTTTCAGCGGTTGAGCATGTGCCTGCTCCAACGTCGAGGCGCCCCGCACGGCAGATGGTTAAGGTCGGTGGGCGTCAGACGAAACCAAAGGACAAACTATGTCGTTGAATAGCTAAAAGGCCGGCAGTTGTAGAGCAGAACGAAGTAGCATGAACGGACTGGCTTAATAAGCCTACGATATCATAGATATATACAGCATTGGATTTCACAACGAATCGTGATCCTGGCCAAGATTAGTCCCAAGTTGATCAACTAAAATTCAAGTTAGCTGACAGCAATGCGAACGAGAATCTCCGGATGAAGCCAGGCGAGGCATTCAGCAAATACTATCAGTGCCTCCTCCGACGTGCCAAGGGATGTGCGTCAACATCCCAGGTCAAGTGAGGTGACATCGGACAGACCGATTGTAATTGGAAACCTTTCAACCGGACCTTGCGGCTTCTGGTTCCTGGACACCAGATATATAGCGTCAAGTGTGGTGTTGCGCTACAACATGTCGATACACTGTTAGCACTGCAAAACCACGCGCAGTCGGTGGTACAAGCTGAAATGTAGCTTATGTGGACTGTCTTGGATGGTCAACGTGAGGGTAGGGATAAGAATCATGAACTTACCACGAAATCGAACGATGCATTCCTCACAGCAAATAGTCAAAGAGCCCCTGAAGCTACACGAAACGATAAACCTCGCAATAGGTCAGCCACAGCGCAGAGCTATTATAGCAAACAAGGGAAACGGTCAGCAAGGCCAGACGGCACCACGGCTCACAGACGCCATACATGACATTGATGATCATGGTGTGTGGAGTTATCGAATCATTGCATGCGTCCACATACCATCTGGACCTCTCGCGCCACAGCCACACAATGAAGCGGGCGTCTCAATAGAAGAAGGCCCATCCGAAAACGTCTAGCGAGATCAGCGGCTAGACGTGCGCCAAGCAAGCTTCCAGAATCCTACAGCCGCTTTTGACAGAGCAGGAGGGCACGGTTCGCCTTTCCTGGAGTGGGAGTTTCTTTGGTCTAAATGAGGCGATGTTCCGGATGAGCGAGACCCGTCCTAACCCGACGCGGCCGCCTTCAGGGACCATCCGTCCACGTCCATTGCGGCATGTGTCAATATGCTGTCCCAGCACACCGTGACAGCCAGAAGTCTTGGTTCAACCGCATGTCCTGGGAGAGACAGTGAGGATATGGCCAAGGTGAAACGGTTGTCCCCGTATGACCCTCTCTTTTCACGCGTGCGAGTGCCCGTCGGAGTGAGACATGTGCAATGAAGAGGGCTATCCGACTTTTTGTTTCTATTCGCCTTCCGGAACTTCGTTTCCACCTGACAGTCGCGCCTTGAGGCGTTTATCGTGCTATGCCGAATGCACCCAGACGGACCTACGCAAGCACAGCATCTGTTTCCATTGTGTGACCCCATAAGGGCCCCGAGCCTCCCACACCCACTCGCCATCCCCTCCGGACTCGTCCTCTAGACTTTGTAACTTCCTGTTCCCAGGCTTTCAACCCCATCAACGATCAACTTGGGCCTTTGCGTCAATAGCAGACGTACATATTGATATGCAAGTGGTCTCGTCCACCTCTGTAGCGGCTTCCTCGTCGGCGTGATTCGGCCAACATGACGTCCTTTTACGATCTTCTAGGAAAAGCCGACAACCTCCACGATCCCGTACCGCCATTGAACAACAAACCGGTGATACTTGGCGTCGTGATTTCATTCCTGGTGAGTTACAGAAGAGGCCGGACGTTGACTTGTGCTATCATACTTAATCGCCGACACAGATATTAACGGTATTATGTGTGACGCTAAGGATATGGTGCCGTATATTCGTCATGCGTGCCTGTGGCTGGGATGACTTCTTTCTGGTTCTTGTGGTGATCTCGCTATCGGTCGGAACCATTGGCATCTGCATTGGTATGTCATGCTCTCTTATATTGACCAAGAGAACGACGACTGATGGTACCCCGACTCCAGCAACCGATAATGGACTGGGCCAGCATCTGCTTTACCTTGCGCCCAAAGAGATCGCAGATTACATGAGGGTGATTCCCCTGCCACCTTTCGTACTCAGTTGCGCTCTCTGACATTTGAAACAGATATTCTACGTTTGCAATGGAACCCTGCCCATCTCTACTTGTACAATCAAAATTGCCATTCTTCTGCAATACCTTCGCATATTCGAGCGCGGTACCAAAACGCGCACCTTTACCATCGTCGTTTTGGTTATTACGACATTGTGGGGTATTGCGTATACCTTCCTGGCATGGGTTCCATGCATACCTGTTGCTGCGTACTGGGATTGGACCATACCGTCCCAAGCTCGCTGGGGTTTCGGATCTCAGACTGCTGAGAGGTTGATCTGGACATACGCAATTCATGGGACGACCAACATGGTTCTGGACTTCACCATCTACGCCATACCGCTACCATTATACTTGAACAATAAAGCCAACGAGAAATCTCGTAAGAGCGTTCTCTGCTTATTCCTACTAGGAACCGTGTAAGTTGGGGATTCTCGAGCCAATAGGAGGTAAAACCCATCCAGCTGACCAAATTGCACAAGTGTTTTGATGCTGACTACCTGGCGCTTCGTCGAAATACTGAAATCCCGGGCCGGCACATATCCCACACTCGACATTACGTGGTACACACCGCTGCCGATGACCCTCGCCATTCTCGAGATCGACGTCGCCGCCATCTGCGCCTCGTTACCCGTCTTCTGGCCTGTGCTACAAATCAGCATGGGGGCCATCTTTGTCACGCGCGAGGTCGAGATCACCACGGAAACCGTCGACACGCACGCCGAAGACGACAAATGCCTCGAGATGGCGGCCCCACATGCGCTATGCCAGCAGACGTCCGCGACGAGGTTAGACAGCACGGCCGGCTTGTTCGACCCCGAGACCCACGGGGCGAACGCACTGGCCCAGACGACCCCGGACCCCAGCCCGGAAAAGGGGGCGGCGATAATATTCGGCGCTTACATGAAGGGGAAGACGACGTGCGACGTGGAAGCATTGAGGGCTGGGTGAGCTGATTGCTCGTGGCACAATGAACATACACTCGTCATCTTATGACTTTCCGATTTACAACGACCATCTTTTTCGAGTAGCTTCATCCGCCGGCGAGGGCGATGATCGGCGTACGGCCGTTGACTTCAGCATAGGCGAATACATACATATATATGGTTGCGCCTATCGGCCATCGGGGTTCTGATCGGAACGGCTCCGAGGTCCTGGCCATACTAGTTCGAAAATGGGTTTGCTAGCCAGGGCAGCCCGAATCTACTTGATGCAGGACCCCCCTATGGTTTGAAGAAAGCACGCACACCGCATGTGAAGATTTCCGAACCCGTATCGTTGGCCACAAGCCTCATCGCCGCATACGGCAAGTCGCATTAGCAAAGAATGCCTGCGCTAGGCTTGGAACGTCGCGGCTAGTCTGCGTAGCCAACTCTTGCCTTTCATGGAGTGAGACATGACATTGACAATGGCGCCCAGATGGACTAGCTGACTAGCTACCCTTGGGAGTCGAATAGGATAAGTTGTCCAACGGTGGGACGATGTTTGTGAGAGTGGTAAAGTTGATGGCAGATGAGGTTTGCAAAGCGATCCTGTTTTCTTTACTCTTCTTACGTCAATGTCTTGGCAACAACATTTTGACCAGGTAGTACGTTGAATTCCAAAAACTCCCAAGTATGCTTCAAATCATTACATGTCCTTGCTCGTCTATTTTGCTTCAATGGGCGCACCCCAGGCGCCTCCTCCAGGTGACTGGATGATAACCCTCTCGCCGGCGCGAAGCTTTGTCGTCGCCTTTGCACCCAAATTAACAGTCCTGTCCTTTCCGGTCATATCATCCCGAACGATGACCAAGTTCAAGCCAGATTCTCCGTCACCACCGCCCTCCATGCCGTACGGCCGACGGCTTCTCCGCTCACTCAGGATCGAGCACTGGACTGGCACGCGGAACTCGATTTCTCGGATGGTGCCGTCGCCGCCCCTGTTGCGACCCTTGCCACCCGAGTTCTCCCTGAGCTGGAAGCGCCTCAGGATGCACGGGTACCGCTTCTCAAAGACCTCGGGGTCCGTGATGCGGGTGTTCGTCATGTGGGTGTGGACGCCGCTCTGGCCCACCCAGGTCGGGCCGGCACCGGCGCCGCCCGCAATGGTCTCGTAGTAGCCGAAGCCGTCCTTGTGCTCGCCGGTGACGGGGTCCTTGCCGCCCGTGCCAAAGGTCAGGTTGTTGCAGCAGCCCTGGCTGGCGGCAGAGGCGCGGAACGCCTTCAAGACCACATCCGTGATGCGCTGCGAGGTAAGGACGTTGCCGCCGACCACGGCGAGGCCGGCGCCGGGGTTGAGGATGCTGCCTTCGGGGATGACAATGTCGATGGGGGCCAGGCAACCCTGGTTCAGGGGGATCTGAGAGGAAATGAGGCCGCGCAGGCAGTAGATGATGGCGGAGTGTGTGATGGCGATGGGGGCGTTGGTGTTGCCGAGGACATGCGGGCCCGTGCCGGTGAAGTCAAAGGTAGCGGAGCCGTCGGAGGCGATTGTGATCTTGAGAGAGATGGGAGTACCGTCGTCCATGTAGTCCACTGCAAGGAGCGGGTCGGGACCGAATTTGGCAAGCGTGGATTGCATCAACTCACGTACAGCGTGCTCGGCTGTGTGCTGGATTGCATACATGTATCGGTGGACGGTCGCGAGGCCGTTTTCCGTAATGAGGGCCTTGATCAGGGAGATGCCCTTGGCGTTGGCAGCAATCTGAGCGTTGAGGTCGGAAAGGTTGTCTTGCAGTCGACGGGTACCCGAGCAGCCCTCGTATTGCGCGGGCTCCTCGAGGAGCAGGCGACGGACCTCATTCTCGTTGAAGCGGCCCTCGCTAACCAACTTTGTTGACTCGATAGCAGCACCTTCTTGCCAAAGGGCGTATGACGTCGGTGGCATGGAGCCGGGTAGGATACCGCCGATATCCGCGTGGTGCCCTCTTGAAGCGACGTAGAAGGCCAATTCATGTCCGTCAAAGACCGGAGTAATGACGGTGATGTCAGGCAGATGGGTACCGCCGCAGGACGGGTGGTTCGAGACGAGAACATCCCCGTCCCGGAGCTTGCCCTTCCAAAGCTCGTGCTGATAGCGTACGGCAAATTGCATAGACCCAAGGTGCACGGGAACATGAGGGGCGTTGGCGACAAGGCCACCATCGGGACTGAAGATTGCGCAAGAAAAGTCGAGTCGCTCCTTAATGTTGGTCGACACGGCGGTCTTCTGCAAAGTGCGTCCCATCTGCTCAGCAATCGACATGAAGCGGTGACCGAAGACGGTCAGTTGGACAGGGCTAAACTCCTCCTGTTCGCCATCTTTCTTGGAGACTTTCTCTTCTGGCTCACGGTCAATGACAACATAGCTCTCGAGTACCGTGGCGGTCGTGGATGGGGTGACGAGAATCGTCTGTGTGTTGTCAATGATCAGGGCCGGGCCGGATATGCGAGCGCCAACGGGGATGGTCTGGAGCTGGTAGACGGAAGTGTCTAGATGCCCGTGACCTTCAAAGTAGACCTGGTTGGTGGCGCTAGGCTTGGGGCTGGGAGCAGAGGAGCCTTCAACAGCCTTCATTTGGGCGAAGGGGCTCTTCTCCACTTTGGCGCGAGCTGCGCCAGTGGCTCGAACGCGTATGTCGTCAACAATGATGGCCTTCTCGGGGAAGTGAAAGCCAAATCCGCGACGGTGGGCATCCTCGAACTCGGTCTTAAAGTCCCAGTCGGCTCCCTTCAAGATCATGAGAGAGCTGCTTGATCCGGCGTACCGCATGTTGAGGTAGGTGTCGTGCGTGATGAGGTCTTCGGTGAAGCCCTGCTTCATCAGCTCCAAGGAGGCCTGAGAAGAGAGCTCCTCGAGCTGCTTCTGGATGCTGCCCTTGGTCTCCTCGGAGTAGGTGATGGCGGACGGCTTCTGAATCTCGTGGACAACGTCTGCGAGTGACATGCCATACGCCGAAAGGATGGAGGAGTACTTGTGGATGATGACGCGGGAGATACCGAGAACGGTCGCGACAGAGCAGGCATGCTGACCGCCGGCGCCGCCAAAGCAGGCCAAGTGATGGGCACCAGCCTCGTAGCCACGAGCTTCCGTCAACGCACGGATCGGGCTTGCCATGCCCTCGTCAGCAACCTTTAGGAATCCGAGGGCGACTTCCTCAGGAGACAAGAGAGAGAGGCCAGAAACCTCTCGATCCTTGTTGATCTCGCTTGTCAGCTCCAGGAACTTGGCGGCGGTGACCTCCCGGTTGAGAGGCTCGTTCTCCTTGGGACCAAAGACTTTGGGGAAATACTCGGGAAGCAGTCTGCCGAGGAACAAGTTTGCGTCCGTCACGGTGAGCGGGCCACCTTTGCGGTAGCATGCAGGGCCAGGGTGCGCCGAGGCGGATTCGGGCCCGACATTGAAGAGTCCATTCTTCCAGGTCAAGATGGAGCCGCCTCCGGCAGCGACGGTGTGAATGTCGAGTTGTGGTGACTGAATGGCGATGCCGGCAGTCGTGGTCTCGAAGACGTGGTCGTACACACCCGCGTAGCGCGAAACGTCGGTAGAAGTTCCGCCCATGTCGAAGCCGATGACCGGCTTACGCTCTTCGTCATCCCATGAGGTTTGCGCGTACCCAACAACACCGCCGGCCGGGCCGGAAAGGATGGCTTTCAGGCCGCTGAACTTGCGGTAGTCCACTAGACCACCGTCTGATTGCATGAACTCAATGCGGGTCGCGGCTGCGCCGAAACCGCCTTTGAAGTTGGCGGAAATGGAGTCGATATATTGCCGGATGACAGGGGTAAGATAGGCGTCAGCTACAGCGGACATTCCGCGAGGAACGACGTTGATCATGGGCTGGACCTCCGATGACAGAGTCACTGAGAAGCCCATTTCTGAAGCCACCCTTCCGACCAACAGCTCGTGTTCCGGGTAGGCGTACGAGTGGATGAAGACGACTGCAAGGGAACGGAAGCCCTGGTCCCAGACGTTCTCGAGCTGGGTCTTGACCGCTGCCAAGTCTGGTCTCTTGAGAACGCGGATCGTCTCTCCTGTTACTGCTGTGACCAGTTGTGCGTCATCAGACGTCGGGGTCGTCTTAACAGATGCAGGGTCTTCGGTGTAATCTTCCATCGTGATGCGCTCCTCGACCTCAACAACCTCGTTGAACAGGACCTCAGGTCGTGCAACGGACAGGTCGAAAATGTTGGGGCGTGATTGGTTCCCAATCGCTAGTAAGTCACGGAAACCCTTGGTCGTGATCAGAGCCACGCGTTCGCCTTTCCGCTCGAGAAGGGCATTTGTGGCTACGGTGGTGCCCATGCGGATCGACTCGACATGGAACAGGTCAAGCAACTGACCTCTGGGTAATGTCTCTCCGGTGACCATCTCCAGGATCCTGCGAATGCCTTCTGTCGGGGCATCTTGGTAGTTGGCAGGGTCCACTGACAGAAGCTTCAGGATGATGTCCCCTCTGCCCGGGATAGAGGCGTGGACATCGGTGAAAGTGCCGCCTCGATCGATGGAAATGCGGATGCGATGTGATTTGACCGTCATGATGTGTGAGTCCTGCCAAGTGATGCCGCAAGAAAACGTGTCAAGGACGAGGAAAGATCAGGAAGGGGTATAGAGAGGATGTGAGACATATGTAGCCAAAATGGAAGTCAGGGTGAGGTCAAGAGGCCGGTGACATTCACATTGATGTTATGTAAGACTGGTACGCATGTGTCGTGATCATGTATGTAACAATATGCCGCGACGGTGAAAAGATCGGGAAATTGGGACTCGGAGAGGAGCCGCGATCGGATGCCTGCTTGGCCCTGAATTTGGATCTCCGTTTTGCCCCGTTCAGTATGGCAAATGCTTTCAAACCGGAGTACGGAGTACATTGAGCAGTGTCAATGTCAGTGACCAACGGCTGAAGACCGCAGTAAGTCGGACACAATTGCCATGTCGGCTTTTGGGTCAGCCATCGCCATGAAGCAACAGAAGTGACAGGCGCACCGGGGTGGGTCCCCGATCTGACATGTATCGAATGAGAATAACAGTCAGGACCGATACTTGATAAGGCATGATTGTGATGGTCGGAGTGGAATTGCGAAATGGGCGAAGACTAGGTAAACAGGTAGGTAGCAGCCACCCAACTATAACCGTCGGAGTGGGTCCCCGAGCGGATCATCTTATCATGGGCTTTTGATTGGCTTCATCATGTGATTGGTAGATAACGGACTAACATGCAGCCGATCATCCGGGGCGCTGCGGTACGTACTCATCCTCCCTCTCCCTCCCAGCAAGCAATGGTCTGTCACGGTTCACAACTCGTGGTTTGCTTGTCGTCGGCTTCCTCACTCTCCGGTCGGAGTGGAGACTTCTCCATAAGACCCGGAGACTCCAACCTGCGTTCCCCGCGTCGACATCCCCGTCATCGAGTGTTTCCATGTGTCACTGGCTCCATTCTGAACTTGGAAAAAGACCAGAGTCCCGTCCATCACCAGAAATACCCCTTGCCATGCCATGGGGGTCACCATCTCCACTCCATGAGGGAATGTGCCAAAGACATCGTCAGTACATGCCGCAACATGGCAACCATTTCACCATCCCCGCCTCAGGCTGCTGATTTGGGAAACTCGAGGCCAGTAGCGTAAGCTTTGGACTCTTTTGTCTTGCCTGCTACTAAGAGTGTGTTTGCTGAGATTTATGTGACAGCTGTGCAAACTGTCGCCAACGGCGATCCTACTGCTCCAAAGACAAGCCGGCTTGTGCTCGATGTCGAGACGGGGGTTTGCGCTGCACCTATGAAGAAACCAGGAAGATCACCATCACCGAAGCGTGAGTTCCACGACTGCCTCCATCGTAACCGCAAGCTGATGTACTGCGTAGCTACTTGAGAGAGCTTGAAGCCAAGGCGAAAGCTTATGATGGTATGGTTGGAGACCAACGTTTCTCAGGAGAAGGCCAAGCGAGTTCTGGCTAACGGCGGGCTGCTAGAGTCCATTACCCGGCAGTCTCAACTTGCCACGACTGCAAAGGTTCATCGCAACGCCGCTGAAGAACATGACGAAGAGTTCGAAGATGAGCACCCTTTGCTCGAACCGTTCAACCAACTCAGCGTTTACAAACCATCAACGAGCTTCAAGGGCCCGGGCAACTCAGACAACTTTTTGCGCAGTGTGAGGAATCTTTCTGGTTTCTACGGCGACGACGGCAGCCTGGATGCAAACACAAACTTTTATGAACCCAGCGCCTTGCCTTCGCGCCGAGAGCAGTCGAGAACGCAGGTGCGGCTGCCTCCTATCGACATCGCCCGACGACTCTTTGCGGCGCAATACACATACATCGGCACCATCTTCGCCTTCACCGATCCCAAGGCAGAGTTTGACCGAGCACTTGTCGAGGCATACCGCGGGCCGCCTGACCCTTCTGACAAAGAAGCATGTCTGTCGTACGCAAAGGTGCTCATCATTCTGGCCTTTGGCCAGCTCTACTCCGTCAACCAATGGGTTGACTTCAGAGGCCCGCCAGGCTTTGAATACTTTACTCATGCCTTGAACCTATTGCCCGACACGCACGAAGAGGGTTCGATTCTCTGTGTCGAGACCCTGGCCCTCGTCGGCTATTTCATGCAGAACATGAATCGTCGCGACGCCGCGTTCCTCTACACCGGCATGGCCCTCCGTATGGCCATATCACTCGGTTTGCATCACGAGATCGGCTCCGGCCCGGTAAAAAATCCCTTGCACGGCCAGGAGGCGAAGCTGGCGACGCTGGACGACGCGACTCGCGAGCACAGGCGGCGGGTGTGGTGGTCTGTCTACAGCCTGGACCGCATCATGTCGGTGAAATCGGGCAATCCCATCACCATCCAGGACGAGGATATCGGCGTTGACCCACCTTTGAGGTTGCCCACCGAGGCAGAGTATTGTCCGGCCGTGGTACTACGGCACTACACCGAACTGTCCCGCATCCTCGGCGAGATCCACAATACCATCTACCGCAAGTCAAGCAATACGGCCCCCAAGTCCGGGAAACGCTTGATGACTTCGGTACAGAGCATTGTCTTCAAACTCTCGAGATGGAACCGCGACCTGCCAGACGAGCTGCGCTTCGACCCTGCGCGGCTCAGTATCAGTCGCGAGAGCGTCTCTGTTTTTGCACATTGGCACTCATGCATCAACATGACCGCGAGGCCGTTGCTTTTCCACGTCGTCCAGAAGCGGCTGCAGAGGATTCGCAGCAGCAATGACCCTGGAGAGAAGGAGCGGGACTGGAAAGAAGGCTTGTCGTCTGCGACGGTGAGGGTCATCGACATGTGCATTGGTGCGGCCCAGGATGCCATCAACATTATGACCATCGCGGCGCAGAGAGACCTTGTCGGTATGTCATCCGGTATACTGATGCAATCCGTGTCATTGTGCTGACCTTTGGACCGATTAGCAACGTACGGATATATGGACGGAGAGCATATCTTCTCGGCGTCCATCGTTCTTGTAATGGTCTGCGTCGCATTCCCTACCGACTCTTCCAGCATCCTGGCCATGAACGCCGGGCTCGATCTCCTCAAGGGAATGGGGGAACGGGGTAACAGTCACATGGGCGCTCGATATGAACTTCTTGCCAACCTTCGCTCTACAATTATGCCAGGAACGAATGGTCAGCTCGAGCCCCTGCCTCCATTCCCGACAGACTTTTCACCGACCGAGTCTGCGATGCCGACGGGGCTTCCTCCCGCGGAAGTGACTATGATGCCTGCAGGCATGGATGACAGCAACCGTGATTTCGGTGCAATGCAGAAGAATGTTGGACAGAGGGTCACCTTCCCGGTTGTGGACAACAGCTCCCTCGGCGAGCCATTCTACGATGATAGCGTGAGCACGGTGATGGATTTCGGGCTCTGGGAGGAGGGTTTCGCCGATCCGGCCATGGACGCAAGCTTTGATTTCTCTCAATGGACGCAAACGGCGGGTATGACTCAAGCAGACGATAGGATGGATGATGTATAACACGTTTTACTGGACGGTACCAAACTGCGACTCTGGTTGTCCAAAGATAATCGACGGCGTGGCTTATCTTGCTAAAGGGCCCAATCGTCCCATTTCCCAGGGATCTGCAGGGCTGCCTTGCGCTGATGTGTAGGGATCATATCTGTACCCCAATCGGCTAATTCCCGACGTTACGGAAAACTTGCCCCGGGGTGTCAACCTTAGACTACCACACACCGGGTCGTCTAGATGGTCGACTGCCGGGTTGGCACCAGTATGCGACCTGAAAGAACCGACAAGTATAGCAACTCGTCGAATAACCCTTGAACTCAGTGTATCATCTCCGATTGGACCCCAACCTGGAGCCAATTCCCTGGATCATAGGGGTGCCACTCCGAGGCCGGTCGGTGGAACTGCGCTATCTGCGTTATCACCCCCCGGTGGAGAATGTTCCCCGCACACGGCAGGGGTCGGTGAGGTCCTCCGATCTGACGAACCGTCGTGTGCAGGCCGGGTCGAGGAGGCCGGTTAAGGAGCTATTGGCATGTTCCCTTGCACGATGTTGCGTCTGATACTGGGAACCCGTACGTCAGTGCTTGCAGGGAAGCTCGGTAAGAGATAGAGCTAGCTCATGGATAGGTGCATGGGGTGCTGTCACATCTACCGTGGCACGGTACGCGTTGGTCGAAGATAAAGGCTGGTGCCTCTCCCATCCCAATGCCTGGCGTGGTGGTTTGCTTACAGCTTTAGGCTCCTAGAAGTCAATGTTCAATTGAAAACCCCGTGTAGACCTCTGCAATTCACTCCGGCTGCACTATAGTGTGTATTCTTGAGAACGGTTTCCCCAGACCTCGACCGAGGCCACCCGAATTCGGCGATGGCTACGATCATGACTCCCGGAGATGCCTCCGGCGGTATCACGGAAAAGGGACTTGGAAGCGATATCGACCGCTCAGAGTCCAACAACGGAACAATGGCGATAGAGTCACTAGACCCCGTGGCAGAGAAGAAGCTCCTGCTCAAGGTTTGTTGATTACACACCAATGAGGTGGGACAGAGACACTAACCGTTGCGATTTCTTTGATATAGCTCGACGCATACTTCGTGCCAATCATCATGGTTGTCTACCTCACCTGCTTCCTCGACCGTTCCAATATCGGCAACGTCAGGGTCGCGGGTATGCCCGAGGACATCGGCGCGTCGACGCAGGAGTACTCGACCGCCATCTCCATTTTCTACGCGACCTACGTAGTCTTCGAGCCGCCCTGGACCATCATGATGAAGCGCATCACCCCTCGCGTCCTGCTCACCGGCCTGTGCATTGTCTGGTCGCTGGCCACCATCCTCTCCGGCTTCATCCACAACATCGGGGGCCTCTACGCCGTGCGCCTCGTCCTTGGCATGTGCGAGGCTGGTCTGTTCCCTGCCCTGAACTTATACTTGACCTTGGTGTATAAGCGTGAGGAGCAGGCGAAGAGAGTGTCGTATCTGTTCGTCTGCTCGGCCATTGCCGGTGCTTTTGGAGGCTTGCTGGCGTATGCCCTCCTGAAGATGGACGGGGTCGGTGGTTACGCCGGGTGGAGGTGGGTGTTCATCGTCGAAGGCATTGTGAGCATCCTCATCGCGCCGATTCTTTTCTTCGGTCTTCCCAACGACCCCTCGGAAGCGTATTTCCTATCGGTCGAGGAGAAGAGGATGATGAAGGTCCGTGCTGCACAGAGGGCTCAGTACATGGGAAGTGAGGAGTTCAGCTGGAATGAGATCAAGGTTGAGCTCCGCGATCCGAAGCTCTACCTGAGCGGCGCCATCCAGTTTTGCCAGGACATCCTGCTCTACGGCTTCAGCACCTTCCTCCCCTCCATCATCGTCAGCATGGGCCGCACCAGCATCGAAGCACAGTACCTCAGCATCCCCGTCTTCCTCTTCGGCGCCATTGCCTTCCTGGCGACGGCCTATGTGTCGGACCGGATGCTCATCCGAGGACCCCTCATCTTCCTGGCCAACATCCCCGGTATAATCGGCTACATCCTCATCATTTGCCCCACGAGCAGTGGCGTCAAGTTCTTCGCCACTTTCCTGTGTGCCATTGCTGTGTACAACGGCCCCGGCCTCAACCTGACGTGGCTCAACGTCAACGTCGCGCCCCAGTACCGTCGTGCCACGGCCATTGGTATGCAGCAGGCCATCGGCAACTGTGCCGGCATTGTGGCAGGACAGATCTACCGGAAAGCGCCTTACCTGCTTGGAAACGCCATCTCCGTCGGGGCGCTGGGTGTCGCGCAGCTTCTCGTGGTTGCCAAGTGGCTCTACATTCGCCACTGCAACGAGACGAAGAGGAAGATTGCGAGCGGGGAGATTGAAGACAAGCGGAAGGTCAAGACTGGTGACGGGGAGTTGGACTTCCATTACCACACTTAGAGAGTTCAGAGGCAAGACTGGACTGTAATTACTCTCAAAGTTCCCTGTTAATCTTATCCCTGTTATGATTGCTATTCCTATCCATCCATATCTGATCTCTAATCCAATCCCTTAATCCAAACCTGTTGAATGGACTTCGTACATGCATGCCTTCATCAGAACAAACTAATCTACGTCATGGCTTATTTATACGGTTCGAGTAGAGTTTCTGTATAGAATAAAAGAAAATCGGATGTCAATAAGAGAAATGGGATCTAGCGGCAGATTAGCCAGAGCTGGCGGCGGATATCACGGCCTAAAATGTCTCGGCGATTGTGTTCCCGCATCTCTCACCTGGCCTCTTCCATCTCGACTATGCATTCCTTCGGAAGCCATCTTCTTGCGTAGTTACTTGTCGCTGAGTTGGTGACCAGGACCTTGAGTATCACGCGGTGACCCTGCTGGTTCAACTCGTGGACAAGGTACCAGAGGAACGAGACCACCGCCCCAAGACCTTGCACATGGCGTCCCACCTCCAACCAAGACACGCCTTCCAAGATGACAAACACCACTTTTCCAGTTGCAGAAAGCAGAAATAGCCGGAAGAGCGTGAAGAGAGCCTCCAGCTGTTGCCCCCTGACGCCATCCACGACGCTTAAGTTGATTCCAGAAAGGTCAACCTCGCGTGGTGTCAGGGACTGGGCAATCTGAGCGTTGAGGCAGCGCATAATCCCGCTAGGCCCCATGTAAGGATCGTTCGGTCGGTTGTGCCTGCCACATAGATAGACGAGAGGTAGACTGCGGTCGGACTGTCTCAGTCTCTGTACGAGTGAGCAGGAGAGCAGTGTCAATGGTGACGCCGCTTCCTGCTCCGGACTCAGGTCCATTCGCCCGTTTAGATACAGGATCTGGGAACTCGTAGATTGCAACCATGCCGCGAAGCTGTTGTTGCGGAGGACGAGCATGGCGCGATTGGTCATATCCTCTGTGCAGACGTTCTGCGCGTCGATCATCGCCGTAACTAAGTCTTTCTCGATGATTTGCAGGTTAATGTTGATGCTGATACGGAGCTGGTCCAGAGTCACAAAGGACGTTTTGAATAATCTCGCTGCTTGGGGATTTTCTGGCCATAGAACAAATTGTCAGGTCATCCATCTATGCTTGGGCACCCCTTGGGTCTGGAGTTTATTGCAACTGACCGTCCATCCACTGCGCCAGCTTTACTTGGCCGCTGAGTTGCTCTTTCAGTGCCTTCAATGACTTGTTGAAATTTTTGTGTAGGCTTCTTGTCACAAATTTGTGAAATTTAGCGACATTGGCCTCGATGCTCCCTTTGATGGTTTCTTCTTCCAAACTCTTGCCGTAGGTGGCAGGACGCAGAAGTGCATTGAAGGCCCGTTCTTTTGTTCCCGATAAGTCAGAATCTGAATCCAAACTTGTTTTCGGGGAATCTCACCGAAAGCTGACTTATCAATCCATTGCAGCATGGCTTCGACGCCGTCGAGGATTCCTAAATACAAATCTTCTGCCGCACTCCAAACGCGAGTGTCCTCGGCGTATATCTGAACATACTCTTCCGTGTCCTCCACAATGTCTGGCAGGCTCTCCAGGCAGTTCATGATCTTGTTTCGAACCTCGTCTAGGCGTTTTGCGGCCTGTAGTAGTAGTCAGCTGAGAAAGTCTGCTGGTGCTGCTGTTAGGATCCCACGTACGCAGAAAACGAAGGTCAAAGCCCCGCAGAGAATGCCGGTGAACTCTCCGTTTGGAAGAAATTCCACCAGCATCTCGAGATTCGAGGCGTTCTGCTGGAACGATCGACCTGCTGCTCTGAATGGATTCTGTCGCCATTTCGTCTTGGAGGCGTCCTGCTCAATCGCGTCTGATGCCATAGCTCTCACGTCTTCCCAGACGAACTGGCGGTCGACGTCGAATCTCGAGAGCTCATCACGCTTGGTATGCTTTACAAATACGCTGACCAGTGTCTTGAAAGATTTTGTGCGTTCGTTGATCCTGAGATATGTTCCCAGGTTAGATTCTCCAGTGCGTTGGTACGAAACGTCAGAAGGAGACAAAACTCTACCTCTTGGATGCCTTCTGCTTTATTTTATTCTCTACAAACTTGTTTCTGGCCGAGAACTGCCAGCTTGGGTCAAGCTCTCCAGCTCGCGTCTCGATGTACGAGTCGACATAGGCAGACATGTCTGGAACCTGGAAGACAACTTGTGCGAGTTGCTTTGGGGAACTTTGAAATGAGACGACGGGATCATTGGCTTCATATGCTTAGAAGCAGGCTTCGCTTAGTATTACAGGAAGTCTGCGGAAATGGGTGGCCATGTGCGCGTGGTCATCAGGCTGGAAGATAAGTAACCTGCAACATTGATGCATGAGCGGCGGCTACGATGCAAACGAGCTCATGAACATAGACACACACACCAGTTAAATGCGCACACGACTCCTTTCCGATGTCACTTCGGAATTGATTTTCCACAGACAGAATGCGGGAGATAGCGCCGAAATTGGCATCTATTGGACGGTATATCTTGTCTGAGAGTATTGGCATCTGACATGCATGAGTATTGATCCCGAAAGGATAAAAAGGCTTACCCCCGAGTCTCGAGAAATCAGGCTGGCCACTCGGAGCGCAACGCCCAGATAACACCATTGCAAGTACCCCAAGACGGTAATACGTTCGTTCGCATAAAGCTTCCCATGTTCTCGTATTTTCTTCGTAACCGAACTTGTTTCCTAGAGTGCATGCCGTCTTTGCCTTTCAGAATCAATGGCCTGACAACATCCAAATACCCGTCTCGATCGCGTCCCTTACCATTCCATGTTTCGGTGCTTCTACTGAGGGGCGTCTGATTTTCGTTACAAAATCCCTCTTGATCGACTATACGCTTCATCAAAACTCGCATCCGCCCATCGAACATCCCACCCCCTCCCCATTCTGCCAGCGGACAATAGCCTTAATATCGGCTTACATCACGAGCCAACGATCATGTCTTCCATCACGCAAGGCCCGCTACATGCTTTGGGAAGCGATTTACCTCACGCCTTACCGCATAGCACGACTTTGTCTTCCACCGACGATTCGATGGTTTTGTCGGAGAATGAGGCACACGATGGCATCGAGAGCCAAGCAACAACACCTTTTGCTACACCTGTAGGTCTTTTATTTTTGGTGTGCAATTTTACCTTGAGGACTGACCCTCCGAAGCAGAAAAGAAAAGACCCTGAAGATGTACCGGAATCATCAAACCCGCAAGATGCAGCCATTGATGTCTCAAAGAAGGTGGAAGATGCACCCAGCATAGGTTCTCAAGATTGCAATCAGTCCGAGGCTGGAGGCAATAACTCCGAGACTTCACAGGACCCTTCCGGGGTGCAATATATCCTTGAAATGGCGGAAGACTTCCGTATGGCAGAAGAAGGGTTGCTCGATGATAATAGTCTAAGGCCAGAATTGAGGACTTTTGTCAATCACATGAGGATGATGAAGTGGTTCTCGGAAGTCCTAAGCGCTAAACCACGACCTCCGTCTTCAGTCGCGAGCGACTATGTCAAAAGGACAGCCTCAACCCCCAGGCTGCGAAAGATGACATGGAAGGAATACCACCACATTCATGCGGCGATAGATTCTGAATCAGCCATCGATTTGCTAATAGAAGAGGCACCTCTTTCATACCCACAGGGTACTGATCGACCGAAACCTACAGTGCTACGAGCACGACCCAATGGCATTCCGGCATTGCCTCCTAGATTGCGTATCAAATCATTACCGCTCAAAAGGATACTCTTCACGCTTACCGATGGCGCGTTAAACATGCATGGGCCCTCGGGCTTGACTTTCTCACGTCCTTACAAGATGTTCGCTTGTTTCGAAAGCCAGATACGGCGCAGACTTTCAGAAATCCAAACGCTATGCAATGAACCTGCTGGCCCTGCTCTGGTGATGGACACCGATCTGGACCTGAACAAGCCGACAAACACGGTTATTGTCGCGGAATTCCCTCCTCAGGAGACATTAACGCAAGAAGAAAGAGAAGATATCATCTTCACCTCAGGATACGACTGGAAATACCTTACAGCAGAGGAGCGCGAAGAGGCTGCTTCAGATCTCGGTGTTTTAATCTCATTCATAGATGAGTATATCTCGCCTCTTCGGAACGCAATTAGAGACGCAGATGATTTTCAGGTTCATTTCCAGGAGTTATGGCACCTGTTCTATCCTGGGAGTATAGCATACGTAAAAGACCCGGGCGTCCCTCAAAAGCTATGGCGGGTGGTACGAAGCTCAGGAGGCAAGTTCTCCCCTCGTTTGCCCAATGGCTTTCGGAAACGAGGAGGCTTAGCAGGCGGAGACAAATGGCTACCTCTCTTACTGGATTGTTATTATCTGGACTTTGATGGCAACAACTTCGTTCGCATCCTCAAGACGTTCCAGGTTGATCATTTTGAGGGTCTATCAGGCGTTAGCGCTCTTCCGATCATCCCCCTGAACTTCGCCGTAAGGGATGGTTTCGTTGACGTTGACACCATCTCAAAAAGAGGAGAAGACTTTATCTCTTACACCAAGTGGTCATACAGCTATTATAGAGGTCGAAGTCTGATACACGAGCCTGAGGGGGCCGCCCTTTGTCATCCGCAGAAGGATACGATAGACTCCTTAACGGTCCTTTCGGAAGCCATTGAAAGTCCAGTCGTTGTGGATTTTGATCGTTGCTTGCGGGCAATCCCCACTTGGAGACCAGGACGTACATCTAGGGGCCTCTCAAGAGTATTAGATGAAAGAGGAGGAGACCTTCGCCAGCCACCTGAGCCACCTGGGTCACCTGGCCTGCCACCTGTCTCGCCACCTGGTTATGATGACGATGGAATTTGGGACGTGCGATTAGCAGAAAAAGTGCTTAAATACACGGACCCAACACAACCTGCCGAGCTGCATGGGCAGGATCCGCCTTCTGGAGACGATGTTCTACTTTTGCCGAACAGGGTCTTTGCATTCATTCTGCGCACTCGTAAATGGGGTAATCAAGACTCGTGTTCGAAATGTTGCTGGAAATTTGCTGATTTGAGACACCTTAGCTTGCCTCCCACTCGGATCTGGGGTTTTGGACAACCAGGCTCATAGCTTGATGCGGATGGAAGAAGACCCTCAAGCATGGGATAATCTTCAAATAGACGACGGACACAGGTCAATCATCAAGTCCCTGATGGCCACCCACTTCCGCAAGAAGAAGTCGGAGCGGCGACAGTTTGATATCATTCAAGACAAGGGTCCGTCAAGTCTATCCCCGGTATTAATAGAGATGCTAACATAGTGCACCAGGCAAAGGGCTTATCATCTTGTTGCATGGAGTTCCGGGAGTAGGAAAGACATCCACAGCCGGCGAGTACCCCCCCCCCCCATAATGACGCCGATCCGTACTTGTGCTCACAATAGTTACCAGAAACGGTGGCTCAGTACTACAACAAGCCGTTACTGCCCATCACCTGCGGTTAGGATCTACAATACCATGTGGGCATTGGAATATATTTGCTGATCCATACGTACAGGTGACCTGGGCATGACCCCTGCCGAGGTTGAAAACAACTTTCAGTCGTCATTCCAAATGGCGCAGGCCTGGGATTGCGTTCTTCTCTTGGACGAAGCCGACGTGTTCCTTGCCGAACGAAGCCAGGACAACATTGAGCGAAACGCCTTGGTGTCTGGTAAGTCAAAGCACCTCTAGTGGCTGCGCCGAAGACGCCGTCATCATATTGTATGAACACAGAATGCTGACGCAGCCAGTCTTCCTCCGAGTAATGGAATACTACGAGGGCATCCTGTTCCTCACGACGAACAAAGTCGGCTCGTTCGACGAGGCCTTCAAATCGCGCATGTCGATGGCCCTGTACTACCCGCCCCTCACCCGAGAGCAGACGAGGAGGATCTGGGAGATGCAGATGAAGCGCACGGAGGCGCTCTCCAAGCAGGCCGCCCCGGAAGACGAGTACCAGCACGTGCGGTTCAAGCACGAGGAGGTCGCGGCACTGGCCGAGGAGCTGTGGAACATGCAGACGACGGTGGACTACTGCCGGCCGGTCTGGAACGGGCGGCAGATCCGTAACGCCTTCCAGACGGCTGTGGCGCTCGCCGAGTGGCACAAGGGGGAGGGCCGGGTGCCCGGGCCGATCGTCGTGGGGCGCGAGCACTTTGAAAAGGTGGCAAAGGTGTCGAACGAGTTCAACGCGTACCTGTACGAGGTCAAGCACGGCCGCGCCGACTACGAGAAGGCGCACGCGCGGGAGCACCGCTTCGACGACTTCAACAGGCAGCAGTTCGTCTTCGGCGGCCACCAGGGGGCGGGCTTCGGACAGGTTCAGCAGGGGTACGGGATAGGCCCGCAGCTAGGCAGCAGCACAATGCCGTACAGCGGCGGGCAAGCCGGGATCAACCCCATGGGAGGAGGCGTGCCGTATGGGAGCAACACCCAGATCCAGGGCGCTTTTTTCACGAACCAAGGTTGGCAGCCGGGGTACGGCGGCGTAAGCAACACGGGGATAGGCGGCTTGAATATGGCCGGGCCTTCCATGGGAGCCAGCGGCGGGGGAACCAACATGGGGCCCGGTATGTCACCTGGCTCCGTCAATGTTCAGGTCCCGCCGGGTCTCAGCATCCAGGGCCAGTTGAACAATCAGCAGCAGCAGCAGCAGCAGCAGCAGCAAGGTGGTTCTAGTATGGGCCCCGGAGGTCCTATGCTGCCAGGCTTTCGGTAGAATCGAATCAGAGGAATTGTAACTATATTGGTAACTCGGGCCTTTTATAATGTTTGGACTGATGACACTTCAATCTATGTTGCGAGGGCAGGCCAGCCAGGGTCAAGGAGCACCGTGAGTCTAGACCTGTAAACTGAGGTTACATCCTGACGGCAGGGATCTCTTCAAGCTTTGGACGAACTCCGCCCCCCGCCCCAGACCGTTGCATGATTACACCCGCTAAAGATTTGGTAAACTTGCAGCGTACCAGGCCGTCCATCTTGGACATTGTGAAAGTATGCTGTTGGACGAGCTAAGCGGGGCGAAAGAGGAAAAAACTTGTCTGAGACATTGGTCATGAGGACAGGGTCATGCCAAGTGCTAAGATGTACGAGTACTTAAGAGACCCTAGGGAAGATTAGCTGGCGAAAAGGTGAAAATGAACTACACCCAAGCATCTGGCCCGGGCTGCTGAACAGTCGCATCAACACCATGGCCGTCCTCCGGTCCATCACAGCCTTGACGGCTCTCCTTCTCCTCCCGCTCACGACCCTCGCCCATCCCGAGCCGTCGAACCGCACCTATGACTACATCGTCGTCGGCTCCGGTCCCGGTGGCGGGCCTCTGGCTTGCAACCTCGCGCGGGCGGGCCACTCGACCCTCCTGCTCGAAGCGGGAGACGACCAAAGCTCGGACGTGCGCACCATCATCGCCAACGGCGGCTACATGGTCACGCCCGCGGACGGCTGGTTCTTCTTCGTGAAGCATCACTCGGACGAGGAGACGGAGCGGCGGAACAACCACCTGACGTGGAGGTTCGCCAACGGCTCGTACTGGGTGGGCAACGCGGCGAGGGCGCCGGAGGGCGCGGAGCTGCTGGGGGTGTATTATCCCCGCGGCGCGACGGTCGGAGGATCGTCGGTCACGAACGCGATGGCGACGTGGCTGCCTAGCGACGGGGACTGGGATTTTGTGCAGAACGTCACGGGGGATACTTCGTGGAAGTGAGTGGACATGCCGCTGGAAAATCATCAGGTCGGCTGGGTGCAGCTATGCTAACGCGAGTACAGCCACAGCAACATGAGACGTATCTTTGAGAGGATCGAGAGGAACAATTATCTTCGCAGGGGCACCCCCGGACATGGGTTCGACGGCTACTTTGAGACCAACCTCGGCAACGGGTCACAGTACATCAGGAACCCGGGCGTGATGGACGTGCTCAAGTCGCATGTCCGATCCATCGGACAAGACCCGGACAAGCTCATTGAGATGCTGGTGAGCGACGGCAACTTCCTTAGCGAAAACCGCGACACCACAGAGGGGCTCTGGGGACTGTCTTCCCATGCGACTGAGAGATGGGAACGGTACAGCGCCCGCACTCTCATCTTGGAGACTCTGTCAGCCAAGAACCCGGACGGCTCGCCCAAGTATCCGCTGGCCTTGTCGCCCAACTCCCTGGCCACGAAGGTCCTATTCAATGAGACGAGCGTCAGGAAGCCCAGAGCCATCGGGGTGGGATACCTGGTTGGTAATTCCATATACGGCGCGGACCTCCGACGAAGTGCATCAGGAACAGGCGAGACCGCACGAGCGTTCGCCTCTCGCGAAGTCATCGTGGCAGGCGGAGCCTTCAACTCGCCCCAGATCCTGCAGCTTAGTGGCATCGGAAACAAAGCCGATCTCGAGGCTCTCGGCATCAAGGTCGTGGCGGATCTGCCGGGTGTCGGCCGGAACCTCCAGGAAAACCAGGAATTCCCCGTTGTGGGACACGCCCAGCTCAATCTTACAGCCATTGCTAGCCCCAACGAGCCGACATGCGCAAAGGGAACACCGGGAGACCCTTGTGAAGCGCTCTGGCGGCAAGGCAAGGGGCCGTACATGCGGCCCGGATACAACTCGAACGCGCTTCTGCTCAAGTCCAACTTCTCGCTAAACGGCGAACGGGACGTCTTCATCTTCAGCTGGCCCAATGCGTTCCGGGGTTTCTGGCCCCCGGTGAAGCAGCCGGAGCTCGTCGACCCGCCTACGACGATGGGCTTCTCGGTGGTGAAGATGCATCCGCAGAACAAGGCCGGGTACGTCAAGCTCCGGTCTGCGGACCCGACGGAGCCGCCCGAGATCAACTTTGAGCTGTACAAGGAGGGGGCGGAGACGGACCTTGGAGCATTAGCCGAGATTGTAGCGTGGGGCCGGCGGAGCATGAGCAACGTCCAAGGTCCGTGGGGTCCGTTGGAGCCGGCGGAACCGCCGTGCTCGCAGGTCAGAAGCGACGGTGGGTGTGGCGACGCGGACGCGGAGTCGGACAAGAAGTGGATCCGCGAGCAGACGTTCGGGCATCACCCCACGGGCACTTGCAAGGTCGGGGCGGAAGGGGACCGCATGGCGGTGCTGGATTCGAAGTTTCGGGTGCTGGGTGTCGAGGGACTGAGGGTGGTGGACGCGAGTGTGTTCCCGCGCGCGCCGGGGGCGTTTCCGGTCGTAGCGACCTTCATCATCAGTCAAAAGGCGTCGGATGTGATTCTGAGCGAAGTATCCGTATAGGCGCGCCACGCAAGTGGCGTAATGAGCGCCATCCACCTGAGTATCGGGTGAGACGGGGTTTGATTGGCTGGCACGCCTGATATTGAATTTGCGAGTATGGAATGGGAGAGTTTTTCCTCCAAGGGGCGGCCATATGGCTAATTACTTGGCTTTTACCAAGCTCGTGTCTTGCTTTATCTCCCGATCCCCAAGCCTACCATCATCAATCAAAAGCGCCAAGCCTTTTTGGGATTCCCAAGCTACCGCAAGAACCTCCAGACCACCAAAGAACACCCACCGTGCGTGCCACAAGCCACGTCGTCCCGTTGTCGCGTCGCAATCAAGGAAGGCTGTGAACCACCGAGCAGACTACCGTGTATGGCGGAAGAGACGTGCCGTTGTCTGAATCCGCGTTCTGGTCGTATTCGCAATGAGCCGCTGAGCGTCATCTGGTGTTGGGAGAGCTTAGGACGGTGGGCGGTGGGTGTATGGGACGAATCAGGAGGAAAGGAGGAAATGTCAGGGTTGCCGCCGTCGTCCCATGTTCCAGGGCGTTCTATGATTTGAGCTGGCCAGCTAGTAATAGCTAGGATATTGAAGGCTGATGCACGTGGAGGTAGCGTCTTCGTCAGATTCTCCTAGTAAAGGTACGTTGCTGGAGTGTGGCGTTATTAGTGGGACTAGCCGTGGTCCAAGCTTCAGCTCAGCCACCCCCACCCACCCTGGCACGAGCTCCTCATATGCGTAGCCGATGACGTCTGACAGTCGCCTCTCCCCTCCCGGATCTGGGGGTCCGGCGAGGAAGCTACCCTTGTTCCTACCTATCGTCCCTGCCTAGCATGCCGTGCACATGCCCACACATGAGCAAGAGGTGAGGTTAGGGGGAAGGAAGAGACAGGAAAGAAGGGAAGGAAGGGGCTCGCCTTCGCCTTCGCCTTCGCCCTCCCCCCTGCCTGTCTCGTCTAATGCATGCGTGCGAGGGGCGGGTGGGACTCTGAGCTGGAGGCCGCCCTTTCTTGCCTCTGCCTCTGCCTCTGCCCCTGCCACTCTTTCTGCCACTCTCTTGCTTGGCTCAGAAAAAACGTAAAGTGCGTCCTCATGACCCTTCATCTGATCATTTACCTTTCTTCCCACATTCCCATAGTTGCTCGTCCACATTTCACTACATAAAACCATCATCCACACAATCCCGAAAACCCGCCGATTCTTTGTTCCAGTTTCTCCCAATACAACCCACGCTAAAACACACCGACTCGAGACAGCCTGCATTTGCTCCCTTGATACCCCCCCATCCACCACTCTGCTGCTACCCTCACAAAGCTCCCTCCTACAACACACACTTCTTTCTCCCAACAACACACACATCGCTGCAACTCATCAATCGCCATCATGTCCAACACCACCGTCTACGTCAAGAACATCGCTTCCGCGACCGAAGATAAGGAGATCAAGGATTTCTTCAGCTTCTGGTAAGTCCGCTACCCCCGCCATTTCGGCACGCGTCAGCCTGCGATGGCCCGATTCTTCCACGCCCCCCCGCATCATTCTTTGATCACCTGCTGACGCTCCGTAGCGGCAAGATCACCAACATTGAGGTTACTCCCTCAGGCGAGACCAAAGATGCTGCCGTCACCTTTGAGAAGGAGACCGCCGCCAAGACGGCTCTTCTCCTGAACAACACCCAGCTCGGCACTTCTCACATCACCGTCACCAGCGCCGGTGGCGACCCCACCGATGATGCCCCCCACCACAAGGAGAATGCTAGCCGCGACTCGGATGACATTACCCAGGAGGAGAAGCCCCGCTCTCGTATCCTGGCCGAATACCTCGCTCAAGGCTATGTCGTCGGTGACGCTGCTCTTCAGCGCGCCATCGAGCTCGACAGCCAGCACGGCGTCTCCAACCGCTTCTTTAGCACCCTCCAGAGCCTCGACCAGAAGTACCACGCAACCGACCGTGCCAAGGCCACTGACCAGTCCTACGGCATCACCGCCAAGGCCCAGGGCATCTTTGGCGGACTGAGCTCCTACTTTGAGAAGGCCACTAGCTCTCCCACTGGCAAGAAGATTGTGGGTTTCTACGAGACCGGCTCAAGACAGGTGCAGGACATCCACACTGAGGCACGCCGCCTCGCCGACTTAAAGAAGGAGGAGCACGGCGGCAGTGCTCTTAAGGCTTCGGGTCTCGAGAGATTCCTCGGCAAGGAGAAGGAGAAGTCTGTTCCTCCTGCCACTGGCGAGACTATTGGCACCCAGTCTCCCACCAACCCCGACCCCACGACTGCTGTCCCTCTGTCCAAGCCCTCGGCTGCGACCGATGAGAAGTCGTCGTAAAGGAATTGGCCACGTTTGTGGGACGCAAAAAGGTTACATGAGGGCAGGCGTTGGCTGGGTTTATTAGGCACGACAGTATAATGGCTGTTCGCAGGCGGTTTTCCCCTCGGGCACTCTAGGTATTTACAGCTTTCAATGCAAGCTTATGGCATCGACGATTTTTCCGAGTGACTTTTGCGATGTCGCGACATGTAATGAATGGGCCTTATGAATGGTCTGCAGTTGCAATGACCTGAGAAAATCTGATCACTTGCTACTTGCTATGGCATGACTTTTACCAAGGTAGTATCATTCATCGTTCCGAAATGAAACAAAATGATCAGACACTACTGAACAAACGCACCAACATGCAGCTTGTGCTGTTGGTAGCATGCGAGAATACGATGCAAGCGTCAGTAGGTTTACACAGCAGTCTAGCCATGAGCAAGTAGCATGCGATGAACCGCAGCGTCTGGTCATTTGAGAGTAAAGTAGTTGTCCTACCTTTTAAGAATCTATGTACGGACCTGAGAGACGATAGAAATACTTATCTAAAGCGGTCCGTGCGGGTGGTACGCCACGTCTGTGGTGGCTTCCACTGGTACTAGCCACACGTAGGTAGCTATTCCAGCTTCACGACATAGCACGAATGAATGATATGTTATCAATGCAATTCTTTTGGCATTATTAGTGCTCTATGATACAGCATCACGATTTGTGATTTCCTTGCTAAAAATGTGTCATGTCTTCATGTCGTGGCCCATAGCTCCCGACGTCATCCTGGTATCATGCCTGATTTTCGTTCGGCGGTAAAGCAGAGCGTTTATTGGGTCTTGGCGAACTTCTCCTTCAGGTTGTCGTCCATGGGACCCTTGGGGTTCGAAGAGAGGTTCTATTGAAATATGTTAAGACAGTTCCCAACGAGAGAGACGGGGGGGGGGGATGTCAATACGAACCTGGAGAGACTCCTTGTTGGCGGCGTCCTTGTTGGAAGCGTCATCGGTACCTGTGCCGGAAGCAGGGGGGCTCTGCTGCTGGGCACCGGTCTGGCGCTCAGGGGGAGGAGATTGGCGTCCCTCGGGCATGTTGGGATTTGTGTGGTTTTGGTAGGGTAAAGGGAAGTGGGATGCGGTGGTCGTGTAGAGAGTCAAAGGAGGCTGTTGTTGTTGTTTTTTTCGCTTGGAGGCTTGTGTAGATCAAAGGGAGATGGGAGACGGAATCAGAGAGATACTAGAGTTAAATAGAAAGCTACCTAGGCTGGAGGGGTAAGCACGGCAGCTGGGAAGCTCGCTCGAGAGAAGTTCCAAAGAGGGGCACAAAGTCTCAGCTCGGAGGGGCAGTTGCGTCAACGGGCAAGGGAAAGACGGGGAGGGATGGGCAGGACCATCATTGCGCTTTTCCTGTATGACATGAGCACACGGAGGCATGCAAGCTGCGGTGGCCAGTGGGGGAAGGGGGGGGGAGGAAAAAAAAGGGTTTGGTGCGGCGTAACCTGCGCGCGGTGCGAGCGATTTACGGGCTTTCTGGCTGATTGCGGCGGTTGACATCAGTCTGTGGTGGTGATGCCGTCATGCGGTGTGCTACCGGGAGAGCTCTGGGGAGTGGTTTGACGTCACTGCTGAGTGTTGTTGAGGTCGGTGCATTACATTGCATTGCATCGATGCATCGGCGTAGGAGCTTTATCGATCAGAGGTGTTATCTTGCTTATCTCTATCTTATCTTATCGATACGGACCCGACTGCCGAAGCTAAGGCACGGCCGAACAGTGTCTCCGTTGATGGGCTAAGAAAGCCAACAAAGCAGCTCAAACCCAAAGCCGAACATCTACAGCTATGGAGGCTTGAACAGGAAGGTAACGAGGATAATCCGAGCTGGATCCGGTCCTATGTATGAGTAAAGTGAAGAGCAAGCAGGTAGATTGACCGATGTGCAATTGTGACCCAAGAATGCTCACAAAAACTTGAGAACAATCTTTTTTGTCACGATGTCCATGGTCGCCATTATCAAGAATTACATCAACCGTTGCGTCGTGACGCGGTTCTGTTCTTTAAGGGTTTTCCTAGCGGTCTCGAGTGGTTGAGCCATGATTGTAGCTGTGCAAGGCTTTCAATACAACATGTGCAGATATCTCGAATCAGCCTCGGAGTCCAACACACATACCACACCAGGGTGATTAGTATTTAAACAGCCATAAGATCACCCAATCAACAAGCTAGAGTTTCTCTGCGCGACCCATTTTTGTAGGGCATTTATACCAAAATATGATAATAACCGGGTTGCCTTAGCCCTGGGTAATTGAAGCAGTCGTCATGTAACCCTTATTGCTGTTCGGATACTAATGACCTAGTACTGTACAAGCAATAAAACAACCTACACCAGGAAACAGAGTGCCCTCCCTTGGCCTTGGTGTTGTTGTGTGTAAACTAGATAAGGTCCCGGATGATCCACGTCGTACCGGTGTCACCTTGCACCCTGGAGTGTTTATGGTTATTCAATGAAGCCCCTCAGTATGTGGGTTCTGAAGCGACGACGACTAATAAACAACGGATAATCAGGTTGCAGCGGACAAGACTTTGCCTTGACTGGCGAAGAAGGCCAGGAACAGAAGACGAGTCATGTCAATCAAGATGGTCCGGGGAATCAATAATGCGGAAACTCTAAACCGTGGGGCCGGAAGGGGGTGACCGGGGCCGGCAGCATGTTGTGTCACTTGGAACATAGGAAATATGAAATGCAACCAACCATTGGCAATTAGTTGGATTGTTTTTTTAGCACTGAAGACGCATAAGAGAGGGGTGCTGTTTGGGTCTCAGTTGATTTGGCCCAAAAGTGGCTCACGATGGCCGCCAAGGGAAAAAGATGGGTTGGGATGATGGGGCGGGAAGCCACATGGTTTTCGAAAAGCAGTGACGACGAACCGGCCCAATCCCCGTCCGGCCGGTACAAACCTGCCCGACATGCCCAACTTGTTGCTGTAGGCGCGTGAATGTGATGGAAAGAGCGGATTGCGATCAAAGCCAAACTTTGGTTCTTGCCTGAACTCGCCGGAAAGGTCGCACCCGCCCTAGCTTCTTTCGTTGATGGCGCGCCTCCACTTCTCTCACTCATCTTCACCCGAGGAAGGTGCAGACGAATATTACAGCTCCTAACCATCATCCATCCATCAATTTAATCCATACATCCCCATCTGTCGTGTCTACTGGAAGAAGAACGAAACTGGATGAAATTCACTTTATTTTGATGTCATTCCTTGTCAGGGGTTTTCCTCCCTCCCCCTCCCCCTGTTCCTCTTGTCCTCTCTCACACACACAAACAGTCACACTGACGACCGACCCTAACCTACCATGCCGCAAACATCAAACAACAAAGGTTACAATTATCGGAACCACAACAAACACCGTTTGGTGTTGCTTCATTTTTCGAAAGTAACCGTTCGAATTAATGGCTAAAATGCCACCCAATCATACTATTCATACACGCTCAATCTGCCTGTTTTGCAATCCAAATACAAGAACGTGCGCCAAAGAAAAATTCCGTTTTCTCCATCAAACTCGTCATCGACATTATCCAGTCAGAAACATGGTACAAGAGAATCGAGTCGTATCATCGTTAAAACCGCTTATTTCTTCTTGCCGCCACCGAGAGCAGCGGTCAAGCTGCCCAGGCCAAGCCCGTCGAGCAAACGGTTCAGGCCCAGAGTGCCCAAGAGTCCATCAACAATCTTGCCGAGGCCGAGGCCGTTGAGAAGACGACCAACCAGGTTGAGGACGCCGGTCAAAAGCAGGCCGACGGCAGCAAGAATCTGGAACAGCGGCTCGGTAAGGAGACCCCAGAGAGGGTTGAGCTCCTTCTTGGCGTGAGGCATATCCTCAATCTTGCGCTTAGCACCCTCGACAGTCTCGGTGATGGTACCGGTCAACTAAGAACGAGTTAGTTAAGGGTAATGTATTGATTGCACCGCAAGGATCAAACTTACCTCTTTCAAACACTCGGCAAGGTGGTGCTCCTCGGGGGATGCCTCACGAGTCTGTGACTTGGACTTGGCGTTCTGTTGGATGCGGCCATCGGGGTCCAAGGCGCGAACGCTGCCGTTCAACTCGGTGAGAATTTTGCCACCCTCTTCAATGAGGGGCTTGACATCTTTCACGAGCTGCTCCTCGTCACGCTCCTCCTTGGGCTTACGCTCGGCAGCCTCAATCTTTTGTGTAATCATCTTGCAAAGAGGACGCAGACGATCTAGACCCTGCTCAATGAGTCCACCAAGGCTTCGGGCCAGCTTACGGTCAGCCTCAGCCTCCTCGCGAGCCTTCTTCTCCTCTTCGGTCTCGGTAGGCGCTTCCTCCTCAACTTCGGGAATCTCCTCGAGCAGGGAGACATGCCCAACGACACGGTCCTTTGAGTCGACAACATCGTTGTCGCTGTTGATCTCCTTGCCGGAGCAGATGGAAACCTCACCAGTAGTGAGCTTACCAATGATGTTTCCATCTTCGTCAACAACTTCGCCCTGTCGGTTGACACGGCGCCCTTCCATGGGACCCTTTTTCTGAGGAAGATCCTCGATCAGGGTCACGTGGCCGACAACACGGTCCTTGGAGTCGACAACGTCATTGTCTTCGTTGATCTTCTTGCCGGCACATACGTTCAATTCACCGCTGGTAAGCTTTCCGATGATCTCACCACTGTCGCTGACAACCTCGCCCTTCTTGTTGACGGTCTTGCCTTCCATGGGCCCCTTGGGCTCAGGAATATCCTCAAGAAGCTCGACGTGACCGACGATGCGTCCCTTGGAGTCGACAACGTCATTGTCCTCGTTGATGAGCTTGCCTGCGCAAGCCTTGATCTCACCAGAAGTCAACTTGCCGATGACGTCGCCATCTTCATCGACGACTTCACCGCTCCGGTTGACCTTGCGACCCTCCATTGGGCCCTTCTGCCTTTCAGGAGCAGCCTCAGGCTCCCAGCGTTCGGCTTTGCCCAGGAGGTTGCCATTGCGGTCGAGGATGTCGCCATCCTCGTCGATGGGGCGCCCGAAAAGCATCTTGGCATCACCCTGGATAAGACGGCCGACAATGTCACCGGAGGGAGTGACAATGGTGCCGTCCTTGGCAACGGTGCAGCCAGGGAGCTCGGCGAAGGGACCCTCCTTGGCACCTTCACGGTCGCTCTCGGGGATCAGCTCGGCACGGCCGATGATGTCTCCAGACTCGCTGCGAACATTACCCTCCTTGTCGCACATGCGTCCAATCAACTTCTTGACATCGCCCTCAACAATACGGCCATAGATGGTGCCGTCCTTGTCGACAACGTTGCCTGCCTTGTTGACACGCTTTCCAGCCAGAGCAGAGTTGTCAATGATGACCGGCGCTTCGGGTTCAGGCTCAGCCTCAGGCTCAGGCTCCCAACGCTCGGCCTTGCCAATGGCATTGCCACTCTTGTCGAGGATGTCGCCGTCCTCATCAACCTTTTTGCCCTTCAGTTTCTTCGGGTCACCTTCGACGACACGTCCGACAATGTCGCCGTTGAACAGGACATGGCCATTGGACTCTACCGTCGCTCCAGGGAAGTCTTCGAAGGGTGCGGGCTCGGCAAGCTCCTCACGCTCAGTCTCGGGAATAGGCTCGGCCTTTCCGATAATCTTGCCGCCATCGTTCCAGATCTCACCACGCTCATCAGCCTTGCGGCCAATAAGGTGCTTGAGAATGCCAGAAACAATACGGCCAACCGCTTCACCCTTGTCGTTGATAAGGTTGCCAGCTTTGTTGACCTTGGCGCCCTTGAGAATGGAGAAGTCGATGGTATCCTTGAGGAGCTCATCAGCAACTTCGGACTTGAGCTCAGCCTTGCCGATGATGCTCCCGCGCTCGTTGACGATATTACCCTCCGCGTCGATGGTCATGCCAACCAGGTCGGCAGGGTCACCCTCAGCGACGCGACCGATGGAGGCATTGTCGAAAATGACCTTGCCTTCATCGTCAATCTCAGCGCCAGGAAACTTCTCGAATGGCTGGAGAAGCTTGTTGCCGGCAACAGTGACAGTACGTTGGTCTTCGGGGATGGCAGAACGAATAGTGCTCAAGACGCTCTTGATATCATCCTTCACGGTGGACTTGGGAGCAGAGTCGGACGCAGCAGTAACGTCAATGTCGGGAACATCACCAGTCTTCGCATCCTCCGAAAGCTCGCCTGTCTCGGCGTTCTCGGGAACTTGAGATTGGTTTGCAGGATCTTCCGGAAACTCGCCTGTCTCAGCATTCTCGGGAACTTGAGACTGGTTCGCAGGATCTTGTTGGTTGGCCCAATCCTCAGTAGTGGTACCCTGAGGAGTCTTGGTCCCAGTCTCTGCGTCTTCAGGAAGCTGGGAGCCCAAGTCTGACGGGAGCTTGGACGCCAGATCGGTGGGGAGCTTGGACTGAGCATCGAAAGGGATCTGGGAAACGGGGATGTCGGCAGTTTGAACATCCTCAGGAAGCTCGCTCTTCAAGTCGTCGGGAATTTGAGAAACAGGAATGTCGAGGGTGGCAATGTCGTCGGGGACAGTGCTGGCCTTTTGTGTGGCGTCATCCTTGACTGTCTCGGCACCCTCGGTCTGTTCGTCAATGGGCTCGGCATCCACTTCTTGCAAGCCGTCATTACCGTCAACAGTCGATTGCTCCGTCAAATCTGTCTTGGCGCCTTGGGAATCTTCAGTCTCTGTCTGGGTGTTTTCGCCGGCGGTTGTAGGCTTACCATCGTCTGCTTGCGACTTTTCAACATCTTGCAAGTCGATGGGTGCGACCTCTGATGTCGTGTCGTTGACTTCAAATAGGTTCTGCTTAGCGTTTTCCGTCAAAGAAGCTTTGTCGTCAACATCCGACTTCTGTTGGGCAAGCAGCTCGGTAAGCTTCTCGTCCTTGTCGGTCACGGACTGGTCACGCTCCAAGGGCTCATTGCCTCCTAGCACGCCAAGAGGGCCACCGCTCTGGCTCTGGCCGAGGACACCCCCGAGAAGGCTTCCAAGAGGGTTTTGCTCCGAACCACCCTTCTCGGATTTACCACCGCCGAGAGCGCCGGTAACACCACCGAGAAGACCTCCTTGAGAATCCTTCTCATCCTGGCCGCTCCCAAGGACTCCGCCGAGAACGCCGCCTTGGCCTTCGCCCAGACCAATGCCTTTTGTCAGGTCACCGACGAGCGGTAATGTGCGGTTGACAGTCTGAACAGTGCCATCAACAGTATCGACGATGCCCTTGACACCCTTGGTGGCACCCATGATGGTGAAGCTACCAACTTCCTTGCTCTCACCACTCTCGGTCAATTCGCCGAGTGGAAGCGCTTTGCCGATGATGCCACCATCTTTGCCGATAATGTCGCCAGTCGCGGTGACAACGTTGCCGACGAGTTCTCCAGCCTCGCCTTCTGTAACCTTGCCGACAGTCTTGCCGGTCTCGTCTACCACCTCACCAGTCTTGCCAATGACACCGGCGACGAGATTCTCGCCATGGTCGTGGATGTCTTGTTCGACCGAGTATGCTGTTTGTAAGAATTAGCAGCCGTCATCCAAATGTGGAACTACAATCGTGTGTAAGTGTTACTCACTTGACTTCTGCTCAGTCTCCTTTCCACGACCACCCAGCATGCTGCTGCCAGACTTTGAAGCAGCGCCGACCATGTTCGTGTCCTGGTTCTTGTTGTATTGTTGCAGTTGTTGTTCGTGTTTGGATATAAATTCGTTGTACTCAGCGCTAACAGGGTATCTTAGAAAATGTAGCTGTTTATGAGATGATTGCATTGGTATGGGAGATAAAAGTCAAATTTATTTGATATGACTTGCCGGTCAGACGTCTTATACCTTCAACTCTCGGGCTTAAATCAAGTTTCCAGCTCGCCAGTCGCTCTTGAGCTTACGTCAAGGGGGAGCTCAAGCTCGAGGAGCTCTCCCTTCGAAGCTCTGGTCCCTGCTTGAGCCACACAGTGACTTCATGGGGAGGGGGAAGGATGGTCAGTCACACAACCGTCCATCATGACGCAAAGCCACAATCGTCCGAGCCCATGAAGGGCTGGGATTCTAGGTATCATGACGCAACTTCACTCTGAAGAAGAAAGCTGCACCTAGGGGGGTGGTGTGACGACCAGCCAACCTGGGGAAGTACCATTGGCATTCGGATTGATCGCCGACAACCTTTCTAGGAGATGCCCAATTGGTGTGGCTAGTGTTTCCAAGGACAATCCTTTCCCTGCATCATCCATTCGTCAGTTCCTCCACAATCAACCCTAGTTGCTCCAACACTTTCTTTTCCCAAAGCTGGTTGCGAAGCTCACAGAGGTTGGACGTGCATGCGCGATAGACGTCATGACGCCCCTCCGAAACACGAAAAAACAAAGTGCTATTCGCCACATCCGTCTCAAGTTCTCGAATCCACCTCCGCGTCTATGCGTACGCAGCCATCCGGACGGCAGCTCGGCCATGCCCACTTTTCAGCCTCACAAGGAAGGGTCAACGGGGGCCACGAGTTATGCAAACCATTCTCTCGCTGCTAAGATTGGGTTTATTGGAACTACGGTGCACGTTCTAGCCTATCACAACCGTGTCACCACCGTCTGAACGCCGCCGGATGCTACCTTCTATCGAACCCGTTCCAGAACTCCAATGTCGATCTCCACCCTAAACGTGCAAATTCCATCGAAATCACGATCCGGTTCCTATATGGATATTAGGATTTCCTCCGCCGTGAAAAACCGTGGGTATCTTGATGATGAGCTGAATTCCGTCATTGGTCGACTTGACGTCCATGAAGATCTCCGAAGGGCTGGGTGTTGTAGAAGATGGCTTGGCCTGATGCGCAGTACACTCAGGACAGCTTGTCCGCGTGTCGGGGACATGGCCAGGACGGGCGCCACTAGACTGTCTTGATTTGCCAGTCTGGCCAGTCTGCTGCAGGGACTTGGCCAGAGGGGCGCCGTCGAAGTGGCCGACGACGTTGTTATTCTTATCGAGAATGTTGCCCATATGGTCTACCTTCAAACCGTCGCCCATGCCTTCAATGGGCTTGGGCGAAGGAGGCGCCGGGGGGATGGTATCATTCTCTGCTACATAACCAACGACCTCGCCGTCCTCGCTGAAGATCTCGCCCGTTACCGCGACTGGCCGTCCGATCATGGACGGCAGGTCTCCCTCGACACGACCAAGCACCTGACCGTTCCAGTCGAGAATGTTTCCGAACTCGTCGACATACTTTCCGTCCAGACCTTGCGCTAGCTGAGCAAGGTTTGGAGGCAGCGTAAGACCAGAGGACAGTGGTGTAACTTTGGGTATCTGGATCGGAGCATTCTTTTCTTGCGGCTTGGGGGTGCTGTTCGAGGAGGGTCGGGCATCAGGTGATGCTTCGTCCGTGCCACTGTCTACAGTCTCGGTTGTTGGCGGCGGGGGTGCTTTGGGTGCACTTTGATGTTGACTCGACGATGTCCTGATGGGGATGGGTATCTCCCGCGAGCCCTGCAGATGAACAGGCCCGCCCTCTTGCGGCTGTGGGGTACCTGTATTGCCGTTTCGGTGAGGGTGAGGCTGCGGTGGGGAGGTTTCATGATGAGGCACCGGCGAGGGAGATGCTCGCGACTGTGAATTCAGACGAGGCAGAGGCGGCCTGGAGTAGGTACTCCTTGGGGCCTCTAGTCTAGAACCGTCATCCTCGACCTCGACAACCTCATATTCGTCGTGCCGAGAGGTATGATCAGGATCGCCGGATACGGGCGCAGACTGTGGCTTGACAGGCTGCATAGTGTGCGATGAGGAATTCAGACGCGCAGGTACAAAGCTCTGCATAGATTGCTGTGCAGGCTGCTTCAAGGCTGGGCCTTCGGGTTCGTCGCGGAGAGTTTGGAGTGGAGTCGGCCGAGAAGGAGAGATAGCCGTCACCAGGGGATGTTGCTGTGGTGGAAGAACATTCGGCGTCAGCTGGGCCTCACTACAGAACGAAGAGGGGGAGGGGAGGAAGGGCAAAGCAACAGTCAGGAAGACCAGCCAGGCAGAGAGGAATGGAGAGTGGGCACCCACCTGAGAATCGCCTTTACTTCAGGGAGTAGGGCGGTTGCGAGAGGGTGACAGGCTGTGCCGTTGTGTGCTGTTCTCTCGGTGCACCCCTTGTTCGATACACTCGCGGGCAGAGCTTTTCTGGTAGATGGGCGACGCAGGCAGCAGGTCTGCAGTGTGTGTGCAAGGTCTCCAAGCCAAAGGAGGGGGGGGGGGGGGGGGGGGGGTTGGATCGGTTGCCGTGACGTCAACTCGATGAGATGACCAAGAGTGGGTTGTCCGAGTCTGCCGCAACGAAGACTGGGGCAGCCTTTGGGGGTTCCAGAACGGACTAACGGGGCGACGGTTCACCTTGAAACCCTGCCAGGCCGCTGCGCAAGGATGATAGGATCAAAGACTTGTCGAGCCGAGATCTGTGGACTCGACCAGAGAACCAGAGACTGGGTACTGTCGGAAATGGGATGCAGCGAAGCAAGAGAGGGGAGGGGTCGTTGAAGGCTGGAGTTGTTGGCAGGATGGAACCGAGACATGACTCCGAAAATGGCGCCGGAACAGCGCTGGGATTGGCGGCAAACTTAGGACCGACGAGCCTGGAAAAGCCTGTTTTCTGTCGAAACACGAACGACTGCCGAATGGCCGTGTTGCTGACTGCGCTCGGTTGGCGCCAGGGCTGTTGTGCAGACGGAACGCACGGCTAGCCGTCAACTCTTCGTTGAAGAGCACGGTGGACAATTGCCTCGGTGCTCACTTCGCGATGGTCTCTATCGATTAACCGACAAGGAAGCTTTAGAGCCTGTTGGTGACCACAGACTCTGGGGAAAGGCTCTAAGCACGGATGTGCTTCGCACAACGAGACAAGCTAGGTAAGTTCAGGATGTGGCTCAGTAAGGGGGAGCTCTGCTTTCATCAGACGGGGCTCTAACCAGCACGCCCGAGCAGCTTCACCTGGGCCTCAAAGACGTCTCGAGTCTGGTGAGGGCAGGATGGCAGCGGAACCCCACTCCAACGCCACAACCGACGCGGCCACGCAAACGACGATCTCGATGGGTTTCCTGAGATGGCAATGAGCTACACGCGGCGCAGAGTCCATCATGGTCCAGAAGGTGAGAAATGAGACGGCAGCGGCACGATGGGCGGGAAACCGGTTGTAAACTGATGATGGCCTGACGACGACGAGGAGTGGCTAACGGTGAAGACCACTCGGCAAACATTTCCAAGCGAACGGCAAGGGGAGGTTGGAAGCAACGGGGTGTGAGTGGCTGAAGCCAGTACCCAATGCGCCGGGATGCGATGCAAAGATTTCCCGTTTAGCCACGGTTTCCCTGCGCGCTTAGCGTTTTGTACCGTTTCCCACCTCAGAGTCCGAGACGGTACGGATACTGTGGGCACCATTTTTTCCAAGGGAAGGGGGGGCTGACATTACCCGTCGCATTAGTTGTGGAGGCGGCGCAAAGAAGGGAGGGGGCCGTTCCACCGTTGCATCTGGCAGCGCGAGTGAGTTAGTTCGCGTCATGTGGCGGCTGCGACGCGCTGACATTGGACGAACAAGGAAGGTTGATGCCGTCCTGTGGCTTGACTGACTACATAGCAAATGTCTATTATGAGCAGGGATGACAGGATTGTGCCAGAGCATTTTTGCTTTTCTTCCCCTTTGAGGGGGTTCTCGGTGAGTCCTTTGGAAGACGCAGGATGAAGTCAGGCTTCTGGCATGACCCCGTCAGTGTGCCTGGATCTTTAGGCTTTGCCTCGTCCCAACTCTTGAGAGTTTGAACAGACCGGAAGAGGCTGACGTCGGACCAAGCTCAGGAAAGGGCGCGCGGAAAGCAAGGCAAAGCAAGACCTTCCCGCAGCAGTCTCGGACGCCGTCGAGTATCGACTCAAGCCAGATGCCACTCGCTCCCGGGCTAGCCCTCGTCGCCCGTTGGGTCCCGACGGCACTAGGCGACTAGGAATGGCAGCCTTTTTTTGAAAGAAATGGACGATAGAGTTTGTCGCGGCTGACAAGTTGCGAGGGTGGATTTGACCCCACCGGTGACTGACAGGAGACTTGCGTCCCTCGCCCCCTCAGTCCACCATCTACGGCGCCAAATGACCATTATGGATGGATGCCTATGAACGGCCGTCAACCACCGTTTCCACCTAGCCACCGGGAGACGGTCCCCTTTCGTTGTCAATGGATCTGCATGGAAAGTCACGCTGCGCTGTTGCGGGGAAGCCATGTTCACCCCAAGGACGAAAACGGCTTGTTCATGGTCAAGCATGAATTTGAAAAAGAAGAAATAAAACCGGTTTAGAACGCTTTGGCTAACGTTGAACAGGATACCCATAACATTTCCCGAAATAGCGTCCGTATCTCATAATGTCGATGATGCACAATTCTTTCATAATACAAGTGGCAGATGGATACCAATATTCCACCTGTCCACCAAATCCTCCTCCCGCCCATTGTCGGGCCCAAACCGTTTTTTTTTACGGAGGAATGACCAGGGGGGAATCAACAAAAGAAACCCGCAAATTCCGGCAAAATGTGTCGAAATCACTTTGCCCATTAAAATCCCCGCGACTCCGTATGATAATTAAAATAACAAAAGGAAACCGGCCCGGCGGATGGATTGCGTTAAGATTTGTCCCTGGGAAAACGTCTCTCAGTTCCTGATTAAAAGACGAGGAGAAGCCCATTAGCCCATTATGAACTTGGCCTAACTAGCCCGTCCTTGTCTGCGAGTAAGAAAAGGGAGACAGAACGGGAGTCTAGTCGGAAGAGATGAAGGGGCCAGACTTGGAGGAAAGTTGGAGGTACTTACAAGAGAGCCAACTCGAGGTCACCGTGAATGCGCGCCTTCAACGTAATCTCGATGTCGAGATTGAGATCCAGACGCAACCGCAGGGTATCGCTCTTGTCGCCGCCGCCACCACCACCACCGCCCAGGGCACCACCAGCAACATTGCCTAGTGTGTTTTGGACACCGTTGGTAACACCGCCATCAGTGAGGCCGCCGAGGGGACCGCCCTGCTGCTGGCCACCCTGCTGACGCTTTTGCATCTGCTTGCTCTTGCTGCGGTTCTGGCGACGTTGGGGCTTCTCCTGCTGCTGTTCGCTGGGAGCTTCCGAAGTCTCGTCGTCGGAGGCGTACTTGGTGTTGTTTCTCTCACGAGGGGATGCCATTTTGATGCTTTTCGTCGAGTGACTGACGACTCTAGGTGTAGAAGTTCAAGGATGGACTAAAGGAGGTCTCTCTGTCGGGGAAAGGGAGGGGGGGGGGGGAACCGATATTAAGGGCGTTTTTTGTTTTTAATTCCACCGGTAAGTTCAAGGTGTCTCTTCCAAAAGTCTGTTTCAGTCCATTAAGCTGGACGAGGACGGCAACATATAAGTGATTCTGGCCAGGACCCGGAAGGGGGGGGGGGGGGGGGGGGGAGGGGTCAAAACAGGATGAAAACTTACACCCTCCCTCTCTTCCGATGAGATCATGTTGGACCCTGGGGAGACCCAGGTTCTCTCCCATCTCTCGCACACGCCCCCTTTCCTCTGCGCATTTGCGTCACACCACTCGAGTCTCGAGATGTCCTGGACCGCAATGACGTTGAGAGGGCCAAGCGGGGTGCGGAGGATGGAGTGGATAGATACACTGGGGCGGCCAGGGCGTTGGGCGTGTCTCATGCTCCTGGTGTGGCCCCCGATCTACGCAGGCCGCCGAAGGAGGATGCACACTTTCCAACCCAAGCCATTCCTTACCAGGCAAAAAAGAAGGAGAAAAGGAAGTACCTATGGGAGGAGGGTGTCGGGCATCCCTGTCTTCCATTCGGATTTCAACCACAGGCATAGACGGACACTCGTACCCAATCACGCGGTCAAATCCCTATACCGTGGTTGATGTGATGGTCTCTTGCACCGACTATATGCAAGCATGACGCACCATCAGTTCTACTTTTCACCATCAAACAAGCTTCGTGTAAGTCACTTTAAGCTCGCAGGCTTGTCGAAATGCTATGCACTGACGACGAAAGGGGCTCACGGGGTTGGTTACAAATGTCAATTTCTAAACTTGAATCCATGCAAAAGCCTTTTCGAAAACGCCTCACCACCTGAGCAGCTGCTCGTCCCAATTCTCACGTTGCCCCCAGAAGCTCCGAGGCTCCGAGGCTCCTCGACTCCCCCCCTTGGTTATTCCACGTCGAACACACCCTCTTGCCCATCTCTCTCTCTCTCTCTCTCTCTCTGTCTCTTTCTATCTTGGTCTCGGTCGATCTCCCTCGCTGACGCGCGTTCGGCTAACCTCTAACGTAGCCGCTTTCAATGCCTAGCGCCATTTGTCTCTTGAGGGAGATCTCGACGCAGTCCTCCTCGTCGTAGCCCTCACGCAGCCTCCCGTCAGGATCCCAGTAGACTGCCCACTTGTCGTTGTCTTCCAGGACGGCGACGAAGCCGAGGCCGCTGCCACGTAACGAGAGATACTTCTCATCCTCTGTCCAGCCCCAGGGGCCTATGACGTGGTCGACGGTGTCTTTGCGGCCCCCGTGCCGCATGGCTCTGGTGTCGGCGTCGACGTAGATCCAGTTGAGCATGGGCGGATCATCGGATATGGTGGAGACCAGGCCACGGTACTGCTCTTCGCTGGGGTAGTTGAAGTAGTACCCCGAGAACTTGTGGCCCGGGGCCGGTGCCAGGCTGTGATTTATCCAGAGCTGTTGGTTGCGCGAAGGAGAAGGTGTTAGCCTACCGGCAAACGGGGGTGAGAGGCAAGGTTTCGGCGTGTGCTAGTGTAAGCCAAGACGGACATGCAGACGCACACCGGGCGAGGTTGTCCAAGCGGGTGTGTCCCCAGTCACTGGAAAGGGGAGCATGTTGGGCAGGTAAAAGCACAGAATCAGGGAAAAGCAGGTGGACGTGCAGAAGCGGCTGCAAAAACGACAGATGCCGCAGCAGAGCAGAGGGGGGGGGGGTGAGAGGGTATGTGAGGAAGTTGATGGCAAAACAGGTAAGGGAGGGTGTGAAAGCAAGCGATGGTTTGCTTGGGAGTTGTTGGAACTCGATCAACGTACCTTGTTGTCAACGAGGACGACTGGACACTCCTCTTCTTTGCCGTCAAGGTCGAGGACGGTGGTGAGACTGAACTTGGCCTGCTCCTTTGCTGCGGCATTCTGTTTCTTCTGGGCGCTTACAGCTTGCCCGGTGCCGATGACTGTGGGGATGGCGGCGATTGCCAACAGGCCGATGACCATATTTCGGGCTTGGGATGAAAAAAAAAAAAGGATCAAGCGGTCCAAAGGATGAAGCTGGCGGCGGGAGAGGGCCCAGTATATCGAGTGATAAACTGGGCTGGTATGGGGAGAGGAGAGAGACGAGAGCCTCTTGCCCCCAGCACAGCAAGCACACTGTGGTGATGGTGATGGTGGCTGTTGTTCTCAAGCCAGTGGCGGGCGCCGTTCGGGACTCGGAAGCGTCAGAGTTCACCCTTGAACCGCGTGCGTAGAGTTAAAGTGGAGCTGCACGGCGCTGGGGGGGGATCCTCTCCCAGGAGATATCTCTTCTCTGCTGGCCTGTCCGATATGTCACTGCGTCTTCGGGAACGGAGGAGAGGGTGGAAAGATGGCAGCGAGGATGGATCACTGTGAGGACAGACTGGGGGACAAGGTAACAAGCCAGCGATGGAGCCAAAGCACCGTACCTACACCACGGGTATGCAGTGTGTAGGGATTTGAGAGTGAGAGAGTGAGAGAGTGAGAGAGTGAGAGAGCGAGAGAGAGAGAGAGAGAGGCCCGGGGATCAAGATGCACGTTTCGGGAACACCCCCTGTCTGGGAACTTTGGGTACTTACTCCCGGGGGGATGAGAGGTGATGTGATGTGACGTGATGTTGGCCCCTCCCCGCCCCGACCGGCCCCACAGGTGTGGCTAAGTAAAGAGAGTCCAGACCGTTGGTCGTTCCCGCCAAAGACTGGAGGAGGTGGAGGAAGATGCGACCGTTTGGGAAGCTCGATGGATCGATCTCGCATTCGCATAGGCAAGCTTTTCGACGTCATCACACTCAACCGGTGCAGTTTGGTCTGTCTGCTTTGACTGTCTGGTCTGTACAGGTAGGTACGTGTACGTGTCCATCATTCTGTCATGTCCGTGTCTAAGTGGTTGGACTGGATGGAGCTTGCTTCCATCTCTCCCTCTCTCTCTCTCTGCCTCTCTCCCTCTCTCCCTCTTTCTTACACACACACACACATCCCTCCTACCTCCGCCGACGTCATTCTGTCTCTCTCCCTTCCCGGCCCACGCTTGCATGCCAGCCGTCCGTCCCGCCCCCATGCCGAACAGACTGGTGCGCGGAGCCTGGCCTGAAACTTCCATGTCTTCTCATGGGACCCTGCTGATCGAGGTAGCGGTGTCTCCTACACCGGGAAGTTCGGACTGGGGAGTCCTGCTTCTCTTTGCGCTCCCCGCCCTCCTCCCCCCTCGTCCAAAACCTGTATCGGAAGTGGTATCACAGCGCAAGCTTGCTTTCCCTCTCGCCGTCCTCGAAGCATCGCGGGGCCGCGAAGGCCTAGACCCTTCTATGGCCCGTCTTGCCTCTGATCTCACACCCCTCCCCTGTCCAGGTCACAAGCGGTGCTATGTAATTGCCCACAATATTCCACGCCCTATTGCGTCACAAAGGGATCCTCGGGTCTCGCGCAGTAGTTTCCTTCAGCCTTGCTGGGGAAGCTGTTTTTTTTTGGCTTTCCTGTTTGCGCCACCCCCCGAGAGAGGGGCGTGAGTGCGTGCAAGGTGTGAGGTAATGAACGCATGGCTTCTCTTCGTACGAAGCTATGGAAACAGGAATAGAGGAAGACATGGATTTAACTATCCAAGCCCTGAGCCTGTACCATAACCTCCTACCCTTCCTCCCCTTTCCGGATGGCCTGTTGTTGACTCCCCTCCCCCCTTTCCTCAATGATACTTTTTTCTGTCGACTATTTTCGTACAACTCAATATCCGCTGTAGAAAGGAATTGCGGTGTGACCAAAAACTGTACCCTTGAAAACTCTCAACCAGCGACATACATAACTCATCCAAGTTTCACCCGCTAGTTTCCCGCTGATAATATTGAACGGGGGAAGCTTGCGTAAATAACCCGTCCCACACCCAAACCCCCAATCACATTTATGGAGGACACAATGGCCAGGAACAAGAACAAGGTGAGTCTCATCTCTCGCTCTCTATCATCCCGGCGCTGGCGTGCGCGTGTATTGGGCAACGGGTGTTAATCGGTACCAGAAGGGTCAAGGCCAAGGCGCCGCCGGCAACCAGCAGCCCGGCAGCAGCAAGCCCGAGGAGCAGCAGCAGTTTGAGGATCAGAAGCCCGGAGAGCAACAGCCTGAGGAGCAAAAGCCCGAAGGCACAACCCCCGTCGGCGAGTTCGGCAACCCCGGGGACGAGGCGCAGACCGGCGAAGCCAAGGACATGCCTGAAGACGCTTCCAAGCCGGAAGACCCCAAGCCCGAAGAGCCAACAGAGGACAGGCCCAAGGACCAGTCATCACAAGACGAGGAGAAGAAGCCCGGAGAGGACGTAGAGCCCCAAGACGCCCAGCAGCAGGATGCGTCGCAAGGCGACGAACCAAAGGCCGGGGACGAACAGAGCCTGACGGAAGACGAGAAGAAGAGGAAGAAGCAGAAGCAGCTGGAAGAGGAACAGAAGCAGCAACAACAGTCTCAAGAGCAACAAAAGACGCCCGGCCAGGACGCGGACGACAAGAAGCAGGAGCCGTCTTCGGCGTCAAAGCAGGCCGGCGTCGAGGACGAGGCGGAGCCCGAGTCTAAGCCGGCCGCTGACAAGGACGGCGAGAAGCCCTCAACGGCGGACCAGACCGCCAAGGACCAAAAGCCCTCGAAGCTGGACGGCGACGAGGAGGAGGTCGAGGATGACGGGGGCGAGTACTACGACGATGACGACGACGACGATAACGTCGAAGACGATGACGTCGAGGACGAGGAGGATTACAGCGAGGATGACGACGAGGAAGACTACGACGAGGACGAGGACGAAGACTACGACTCGGAAGAGGACGACGAGGACGACGGCGGCTACCAGAACGGCCAGATGACGAGGCAGCAGCAGCAGCAGATGCAGCAGCAACAACAGATGCAGATGCAACAGCAGCAGATGCAGATGCAGGGCGGCGGCGGCGGCGACGCCGGCAAGAACCCGCTGAAGCTGCGGCTCGACCTCAACCTCGACATTGAAATCACCCTCAAGGCCAGGATCCACGGCGACCTGACGCTGGCTTTACTGTAAGTGTCTTAACCGGCCCCTTCTTCCTCATCTTCCATCTTCCGCTGGTTTTTTTCTCCTGGGGTTTCTTGTTTTCTCCCCTTTTTACTCTTGTCTTGTTTGGACCCTACGTCCGAATAGCATCGAGTCACTTCCGTGCGCGGGCAAACCCTCTCCTTTTTTTTCGAGGGCTGCTCAGCTGCGAGTCTGTGCGACGCGCGCATCCACATGTCTGCCGCATGCTTTTGACACCCCCCCCCATTTCCCCCCATTGCATTGCGCCTCGACCTGCCTTACTACTCCTTGTCCGAACTGCGTGTCCTGTAATGCGATCGCGGGGTTTCGGATGCCACCGATTATCGGTGTCTTTCGGTGAACGCATCGCGCGCGCACCCTCTCTCTCTCTCTCTCTCTCTCCAGCGAGTCAACAAGCCCCGGCGCAGAAAAGCTTTTGCGCTGGATGTCGACATTCTGTTCTCTAGAGTTTTTTCCTGTTGTGGTATGGTGGAGAGGATTGGGGAAAAACTCTCTAAAAACCAGGTTCACAAGACCTCTCCAAGTCTTGTTCTCTCTTTTTTCCAAGAGTTGAGAAACTGGAGCTTCCACACACTCCACCGGGCAGGCCACGCGAAAGTTCGCTGGTCGTAGTAGAAGAAACGGTGGTGTGGACCGTTTTCGAGCGATTCAGCTGAGACCCGAGCGAGCGGTTTATGGAGAGCGATTGCGACGCCGCCCCCCTGTTGTATTGGCTCCCGCAATCATTGTGACGACAGACTGAGCAGAGCTGCCTTGTTCCTGTCTCGCCCAGAAATTCGAAGAAAAGAACAAGTGCCGTCCAACGCCCTGGGTGTTTTCCTTGATGTCGTGCTGATTTGGATGAAAAACTCGATCCGTCTCTCGTTCAAAAGGCTAACTGCATAGGGACATGGATTAGAGAGGAGATGTGAACCGTCCGCCGACCAGACCCGTTATTTCGGATTTTTTTTTTCGACAATCGAATCCCCTCAACCAGCACCATCGAATCCGTCCGTCACTCAAAAGATCGGAGAATGTTCCCAATAATACCAACTTAACGACATGACGGCTAAAACGTGTGCGTTGCGGAGGCGCAGTAGGATCCTTTCTTTTTTTCTTTTTCTTTTTTTCTTCGCTTCCCGTGTAACGAGTCTCCTTTGTCACACCCCTCCCAAATGTCCAAGAGGGTAGGGCGGCCGCTTCGACGAGTCTGCTCTCTCCCTCAAAGAAGGTGTTTTGTTTTGCGGGGTTGGGTAAGGAACTGTGCTTGCTTGTGTGGTGTGGTGTTGAGCCGAGTCCAAGGCGAATCGAACTTTGTTAGGCTTCAGCGGCGGATCAGACCCTCCGCCCAGTGTAATTTTAGGCGCCGAATAAGATTTCCCATCAATCGTCCACGTGCAAGGTCGTCGTCGGCCCGAGATGTAGGGGGGGGGGTGTTCACTGTGAGCGTCACGGCACGGCCTTCGGTAAAGCCAGAGTGCCACATCGCAAACATATGGATCCCAGCCGCATGAGCTCGAATACTGGTAACACCGCTGTCGCGATCGTGTTTTTGTTTCTCTTTTTCTTTTTCGGCCTCATTTTGGGTTGATTTAGTCCGTTTCAAATGCTCAACGAGCTGACCGTCTCGTAACTTTCTTCCGTCTCGCTGCGCCCGTCTGACACCAGCGGCGAGCAAACGAGCTGCAAGCCTGGCGAAGCGAGGTAGCTTGCACTCATGCCTTTGACGTCGCCAAGCATAACCTCTGTTCCTATTCACCAATCATGTCCAGTGTGCTTGAAAGTGTGGCTGGTGAAGCATCGCACCTAGTCCTGACACGGGGCTTGTACCCGAAGCGAGCGGCGGTCCCAGCATCACATCATCAATGGATACGGCAATTCGCCCAAAGTCGGTCGAGTGCAGTATCACAATGCAGTAAAGATGAAGTGCTTATGCGGCCAAGGTCCAATGATGAAACATTTCAGCCTCATCCGAAGGCTAGGTAGTGAGCGGCGGCCGGCGGTGCAGGGGGGAAAACCTGTTTTTTACGCTCTCGACATCAGGCGATCACTGACAGCGGGCGATCGTAGCCAGCCAGCACAAGTGCGAAGGTTGGTCCACGGGGATCCAGAACGGGAGGAGACTTTCTGCTCCATAAATTTGAGTCGTGTCCCGTACCGCTCCTTGGGCCGCCGCCCGCCCACCACCGTCGTATCCGCCGGGATCGATCATACTTGACTGTGTTATCGAACCAAGCTGGACAAAGCGCGCAGAGCGATGGTCGTCGGGTGGTTGCAGCTTAAACACGACCTCTGTTCGGACGACGCGTGACTGACCAAATGCGCCCGTGCCAGTGCAATGGAATTGTGCTACGGTTCACCCGTCGCCGTTTTGGCGTCGGGTGCGCCGTACCACCGAGAGCTGCCAGATGCTGCGACTGTCACTGGCCATCGACATCGGATCTCGATCACTGCTGCTGGAACCCGCACCCGACAGGGGTTTCTCGAAGCGGATAATGAGCGACGGGAATGGGATTGCGCCGGGGGGGGGGGGGGGGTTGCCGGCTCTCAGTCGACAAGGGACCGCGTGGCAGACTCGAGACGTCCACCCGGAGAGAAAACGCCGTGGGAGGTTCGCAGCAGTACCTAATTCAATCGTGTATTGATACGGTGTACGCACACCTACCTAGCCATCCATCCATGGAGGAGAGAGTGGATGGATGGATTAATGGCTGTTGTGGAAGGGGTGCAAGGGGCCGCAAACCTGGCGGCCCATGCGACGTCAGGAGCGGGGCGGAAGCGGGATGCCGTGTGGCGCCGGCGCTAGGCGGCATGAAGCCACATTTGGCAAAACGGTGGATGATCTGGGGAGGAAAACGGTAGAATGGATCCAATTGACGTATTGCCGGGTTTCATCCACCACAAGAGTGCAAGTGGTGGTGTTGTTGTTGTTGTTGTTGTTGTTGTTGTTGTTGTTGCAAAGAATGATGCCATCCCATCCCCCCTCTTTTCGGAGCAATCTCCTCCCGGCAGGCAATGAATGGTCCCAGTGGAGTTGGCAGCTGTATGCGACGGTTGCGAGCTTACGACTCTGGCAACCAAATTTGCGACTGAGCGAAATGCGTTGTATTATGTGTCGTTGTCGATGCATTCAAGCTCAGATGGCGGTGGCGGCGGAGGGTGGCATTCGTGATATTGAGCTTTGGCGAGATAGGAAAGCATGTTTCGCAGTTGACCTATTTGTGGTAGATCGGGTTGATGTGACACTGCCGGGTAAGGGAATCTTTTGGTTTCCATCGCGGCGATACAACATCGGATCGCAATACCTAGCTGTGCTGTGTTGTGCAGCTGCTTTAGGTTTGGGGGCGGTTGTGCGATGCGAGGGGGGAAGTCCAGCAAGGGAGAGATGAGAGGAGTCTCGGAGCCGGATAAGTCCCCGGCCGAAGAGATAAGAGCGAGATAAGATAAGGCTACTGATAAGGGGATTGAGTGGCGGTGCATGTTGTGGCAGAGGCGGGGCTGTGGCTGGGACCTCACATGTGGGGCTCGCAGTGGGGGGCGGGGGAACAACGCATGAAGCATGATGGAGCTCCAAACCAAACAACCCGACTAGACTCCTTGAGGGCGTGGTGACCGTGACTGACAAACAATCAGACGCGTCTGATAATCAACAACCACAGTCACAATCACCACCACCAGATAATCTTTCCATCACATACAGGAACACCGGCTTCATTTTCCCATCAACCTCCAGGAAACCAGCAACACCCACGCCCCCCCCCCCCTCAACAGCACCTCCGCCCGCAATGCCTGATCTCAACTCCGTTCCCGCCTCACCACATCCGCAAACCGCCTCTCGACGCTCTTCCTCTCACCAAATTCCGCCTCCTCCGCTTCCGAGTCAATCGTCCAACTCTTCCTCACTAAACATCCTTCCCTCGAACCAGAACATCGTCAACCACCCCAACCCCTCCGTCGGGTCTCCGCCAATGGCCCCGTCAACCGTCGCATCACTCCCGGCCGCCCCTGAGCCATCCGTTTCCGGCCCGGGCCCTATCCGCCACCCGCGACCCATCACCGCCTCCGAGCTTCACATGCAGCTCGAGAAGGAGCAAGAGGCAGTGGTATGTCTCAATCACACGGACTCGGTATGCTACCTAGATAGCTAACCCATGCCATAGGTGAACCGTCTTACACGAGAGCTCCAGCTCCTCCGCACGGCCCAGAACGCCTCGGTCGTCTCCAATGCCTCGTCGACATCTGCCTCCAACACGACCGAGGGCCCCGACACCCACCTTCTGTCCGGCGCCGCCTTCTCCACCCCCTCCGTTCCCTCCAATAGTTCCCGCCAACACCACCGCACCGCCTCGAATGCGAGCACCCGAAGCCAGACTGCCGTCGCCGGCTCCGCTGCCGTCTCTACCGCCTCCATGCCAGTGCCGAGACCTGCCAACCCCGTTCGCCAAGACAGCGTAGCCTCGCGCCACAGCCTGTCCTCGTCGCCCGCGCCGTCGTCCCACTATTTGGACCCGAGCGGCGGCGGCCTGACATACTTCCAACAGCAGCGCCTGCTACAGCAAAACACAGGAAGCGCATCGGTCGCCCACACCCCCGGGGGCAGCGAATTGCAGCTGTCGCCTGGACTCATGCCCACCACGTCAAGGTACGAGGAAACGGCGCTGCACCGCCAGGAGCTGGAGAACGCCAAGAAGGAAAACGAGGCGCTCAAGCAGCGAATACGCGATCTGGAGAAGCTCGTCCGGGAGCAGACGGCCGGGCGGGAGAGGAGCGGAAGCACCGGCAGTGCTGCTACTGGTACCGCCACCAGTGCGGGCGTGACGACTGGGGGCGCCGGCATTGCCGGCCCCAGACGGCCGGGAGGCGAGCGGGAGCGGTCGTCGACCACGATGAGCGTCGCCAGCAGCGTAGCTGTCGGTGTGCCTGACGAAGAGCTGCAGGTTGGGGAGAGCGCGGCGAGCTCCGGGTTGAATCCCTGAGTTGCTTTGTTCTGAATTGTCCTTTGGACTCGTATTATTAGTAGCGATGGGATGACAGCAACGGGTCATGGCTTACGACTGAGACGGGATGGCGTTTTTTTACCCCCCTAGGGGCTTGGGAACGGGGAGAACTGCTCTCTGCATTAATGCATCCAGGGCCTGGCCTCCATGTAACGAGAACAGTTGTTATTAATATGACTGATGTTTCACTCTGGTATGCTTTACAAGGCGAATCGCTATACCTTGGCTGACTGTTCTATACAATTAATACATCAAAATAATATTCCAGCTTTCATTGTGGCGGAAGAAGGGCATCAAAGTCTGGGTCAAGGAGGGGGAGTGTCATTCAAGGAAACACAGCATCGTTGCACATATAACAACATTGCCAACGGACTGATGATCAGGCATTGACCTGGGCCAAAGGTGGTCAGTCGATCCCTCAAATGGTCTCGAAGTACTCATCGTCTCTACAAGCTAGAGTAAAGGCTCCGTATTCTCTGGTCATATTAAAACCACTTTTAATGGACGGCGTCTTATTCCTACCCTGATGCCTCTAATTGCTTTAGAAGGACACTCTGACGAAGAATCGCACCAATACCCGGGGCCCGTAGACCGCCCAAGCTTCACTCTTAGACGAGTCCAGTTTAGACCCCATCGTCCTCCATCATCTACCAAGCCACACACTGGCACTCCTTGCCGCACCAGAAGCTCTGGCATCCCAAGACACACCTCGGAAGTCTGCCGCGCGCGCAGCAGTGGTTGCAGTTGGCGTCCGAGCCGCACTTCCACGCGCGGCAGCGGCAGACGCCGGCCTCGCACTCGCTGACCTCGAACTCGGTGCAGCCGATTGTGGCGCCCTCGGCGGCGGCGCGGCGCGGGAGGCGTGGTGGAACACACGCACGCGTTTGAGGGCGCGGAGCACGTCTTGTGCGGCTTGGCCTCGGAGCACCTGATGGGCGAGCAGTCATCGTGCGTGCTGCAGCCGGCGCCCTCGGAGAGGGAGAAGTCGCATCGGCAGGCGTCGGATAGGCAGAAGCCGCGCTGGTTTGTGGCGTCGCAGGGAAGGCCGTCGCAGTGACTGTCTACGAGGCAGGTCGCGCCGGGGGCGACGGGCTTCGCGATGCACTGGGAGACGGGGGTCGCGCCCGGGGAGCCGACGAGGGCGCGACAGGCCGAGGCTTGACAGGCTTCGCAGTCGATATCGGCGCAGTCGGAGGCCTTGGAGCAGGCGTCGAGGAGTTTCTTGGGCCTATCAAAGCAGTGGCAGCCGGCCTTGGGGCCGTCCTTGACGCGGCAGTCGGGGCGCTGATCGTCAGGGCACTTGAGAGGTGAGCAGTCCTCTCTGACGGTGCAGTTGTTCCCAGGGGGTCTGTGAAGCACCTATAGTCGTCGTGGAAGTAGCAGAGATGGTGCCGGTAAGGATGTTGGTATTATTTGGATTCTCAAGGATGACGCAGTGGCAGAAGCCGTGGTAACAGGCACTGATATGGTTCTCGGGACAAGAGAGCGAGCCGCATGTAGCACTGTTGATGCAGGCCATGGTAGGCTTAGGGAAAGCGGCCGTCCCAACTTTCGTGGCCGAAGCGGACTCCCGGGAACTGACGACCATCTTGCAAGCCTCGATATCATCCTGTCTGCGACGCGCCGGGGCCTTGCCTCCAGATCCCGCCGTCTTGGCGCCGGATCCGCACCAGGACTTCTCCAAGAGAAGCTCCTTTTCGAAGCGGATGCGAAGCTTCCTCTTCTCGTGGGAGCCCTCCCTGTGCTTGGGATGGTACTGCCAGCTGAGGATACCCCAGTGTGGCGGGATCTGCGGACCACCGCCGATGGCAAATTCCATGCGGGCGGGGTAGGCCTTGACCATGATGTTCTCCGGGTTGACGCCCCAGGCGACGAACCTCTCGTACACCTGCTGGATTTGCCAGTCGTATTGTACGCGAGGCATGGCAAGGTTCCTGTAGGAGTGCGTGACGATGCCCACCCAGACGAACTCCTTCTCCTTGACGTTGAACGCGCCCTTCTTCATGAACATGTCCTCGAGCCCGGGGTTGCGCCCCGGGAATTTCTGCTCGTCCTGCTGCTTGAAGCTGCCCTTTGCGTTTCCGTGTTGGAGAAAGTCGAGGAACCCCTCTCGGAAGTACTCCACCGTCGGTCGGGGGTAATGCTGCTTCCAAAAGTCAAAGGTCGCCCTGCCGTGGGCCTCGCCGCGGGCGTGCGAGGGAATCTCCCGGATGTGGCTGGTCCAGACCGCCTCGGGCGACGCCACGACGATCGCGGAGCAACCCCAGATGGAACCGGAGCCGCCGAAGCGGGGTCGGTCGGCCACGGTACCATCGACCTCCTGGTCGAGCGTGACCAGCGCGCTGGTGGCCCAGTTCTCGTGGCTGTCGGAATGGCCGCCGTAGCCAGCCCCGCGCTCGTCACTACGTTCCGCATGCGGTCCCACCACCAGACCTCGCCTCCGACAAAATCTTCGGGGTCAATCATGATCTCCGTCGAGAGCTCCCTCTCGGCCCTGCTCGGACCATTGGTTGGTGGCAGCTGACGCTTCTGCGGCTGGCCCGAGAGGCCGGGAGGTGGATTTTTGCGGTAGTCGCCGCAGAGGCCTTCCGGGCCTCCCAGGCCACAGAGAACAAACCTCCCGCAAGTGGCTACTTCTTGCCTGGGCCGGAGACGAGCGGGTGGCCTGTTTGGCCCTGGTTGGAGATCGAAGTTGGATGGAGGAGCATCCGGGTCGGCATATCCACCCTCGCACCAGGCTTCACGATGAATAACGGTCTTCTCATAGCGCACCACGAGCTCTCTCTGGCCACTGGGGCCCCTGGGAGTGTATAGCCAGCTGAAGAGCCCGTCCCACGGGTTCGCGGCGCGGATTTCCGGTGGCGGCGTGGCTACGCCGTAGCTGTAGTCAAAGTCCGTGCCCAGGTCCATGCGAGGTTTATACCCGTATATGGTGATGTACTTCTTCTCTATCTTGACCTTATCGGAGAGAAAGTTGAGGAGCCTTCTGTTGCCACTCTTGTAGAACATCTCTCCGTTCTCGTCGGTGGGGACGAAAACGATGGTGCGGAAGAACCCAGCATCCTTGGGGTGCAGAGGCCCGCCGGCGTTCACCAGGGGCGCGGGGGCGGGATACTGCTCCTGGTGAGGGAAATCGGCGGACCCCTTCTGGAGAAAACTTTCGACGTTTTGCTTGAAGTAGTAGTCTACGTCGATACCGTTGCCGATGTTGAAGTAGTTCTCATCCTCCGGCGAGACGTCAAAGTTGGGAACCTCCCACAGGTGGCTGGCATACACGCCCTTGGGAGAGAAGACGACAACCATGACGCACCCCCAGACGGGCCCGGCGCCGGCGCCTTGCGACATGTTGATCAACGGGGTCCAAGAGGACGAGGAGTCCATACGTTCCACGCTGCCAATGTGGAGACCGGGGCCGTAGACGTTTGCGACGCGGCGCATCTTCTCCCACCAGTCGTGCTCACCCCCCGCCCACGTATCGGGCTCCGTGATGGTGTCTTTGAGGATAGCGTCTTCGCCGTAGTCCCAGCGAGCCTTGATTTCCTTGGAAGAAGCATTGGGAGCGTCCTGCTGGCAGGCGGGGCATTTATTGGGTAGGCAGGCAGCGGTGCGCTCCGGCCTCTTCGTGGTAAAGAAGGTCGTGGTGGTGCTGCGGATGCTGGTGCATACCTGCGCGGTCCGGCAGGTCGCGGTGGCGCAGCTGGTGGTGTAGCTGCTTACGCTGAGGCTCTTGATGTGCGAAACGATGCATGGCTGAGTGCAGTGAGGGGCAAGAGTGTAGGTAGCGGTGCAAGACGAGGTCGATTTTGACGTGGTGATGGACTCTTTTGGTTTATCGGGCTGAGTTTCGCCTCCTCCGCCTCCTCCTCCGCCGCCAGATGGGGAATTTGTTCCAAAACCGGTGCTCATTCCAAAGCCGAAGATGTCGCAGATAGCGTTGCCGAGGACGCTGGTGCCGAAGTCAATGCCCAGGTCAATGCCAAAGTTGATACCCAAGTCGATTCTGAAGCCGTTGAGAAAGGAGTCATCATCCTCGTCGTCTTTGTCGACGTCGTCATCTCCATCATTATCACCATCATCGTTTCTATCGTTTTCATCTTCGCCGTCGTCGCCATTCTCGCCATCGTCTTCATCGTCCTTCCCATCGCTGTCGTTTTTGTCATCCCCAGGCCCGCCATCGCCGCCACCCCCGCTATCGCCTGACTTGGTAATAGTAGCATGGGTAGCCGAGGGGCTAGTCTTCGGCGTTGTAAGCTGGGAAGATGATGTAGGGGTAGCAGAACCATTCTCGGGGGAAGGTGGCAGCCGGGGTTTCTCAGGCCACGGGTATCCGTTCGGGCTGGAAGATGGGACCGGCGGGCAGACCTCGTCGGGTACAAGACAGGACGGGTGACAAAGATCTAACGTAATAAATTTCCAGGCAGGAGATTGAGTGGTGATAGTCTTTCCGCTGACGGTTGTGGTTGCAGGGATGTCAATCGAGAGCCAGGTCACGCTGGTAATTTTATAGACTCAGCTGAAGTCGTCCTAAGAGCTTCCACAGTAACGATGCCGCCAGGAGGCACATTTACAGCGACAATAGTGCTCGTAGCCGGTGGGCTGGTGGACGAGACTTCTCTAGCTGCTGTTTGAGTGTTGGGAACAGCAACGGTCGCGGTGGTCTGAGCTGGTAGGGTGTTTGATGCGGTGGGTATGGCAGCAGAAGCAGAGGAAGCAAGTGAAACCAGAGCCGTCAGTCCTGAAAGAATGGACGAAGACAAAACTAAGGTCTGTGTGTGGACAGATGACACGGGGCTGCTCAAATGGACAGTCGTATTAGACCCATGGATATTGCCCAACGTAGTAGAAAATGAAGAGAACTGGCCTTTGCTTGTGTCATTCCACAAAAGCGTTCGTGAACTGATCTTCTCGTCTTGTATTCATATCAGGACTAGTCCAAAATGCTCCAGAAGACATACTTGTAAGGTCTAGGTGAATACAGGAGACTTGCCAGAGCTGAGTGTCACATTGGGGTAATGAAGCTCACGTGTCGAAACGGAGCTTGGGATGCTACTGACGTTGCTGCCGAGACTTGCGGTGTTGGAAGTGCCAATATGTGGAGAGTTGGGCAGCGTGGTGAGCACGGAACTCAACCCCGGACTTCCAGAGGTAGCGGGGTCGGAGATGGTAAAGACAGTGGTGTAGGTAACTGGGATAAGAGTGACATTGCCATGGGAGCAAGGACAGACGGCAGTAGATCCATTATTGAGGATGTTTGGAGTGGCGCTGGAGGCCATACAGCTGCACTCGGCGACAGACTTGAAAGCAGAGTGAGCACCTAAATTAGAGTGGTTAACTTGCTATTTTACATTCCGGAAATTACAATCAAACAGTGAAAAATGCCTACGCGAAAATCGAAAAAGAAAGAGGTGGCATAAAAGAATTGCCCATAGGACGGTGAGAGCCCCGTTATGCCGGAGGGTGCTCATCTTCACCGTTGACGCGTAGGCAGGTGTATCAGAAGAATTAAGAAATTATGTTGGCTGGAAGCAATTTAAAGAAGTGAGATCAAACCCAGAGCAAGTACGGGGTATGCAAAGTTTTTGTGTTGTCACAATTTGTTCTTTTCTTGTGGCGGAAAGAGTAAGGAAGAAGGAGAGCCAAGCTTCAGTGGCATTGGGAAGAATGCTTGCAATCACTCGAAAAGAATGGAATGATAGTTTAATAAACACACCCTTAACAACTTGGAAAGAACGCGTGAAAGTGTTTGTGATGGGGAAGGGAGAATTGTACCATTCTTTGACTACCCTGCACATGAATATATTAGGATAACACTCGGAGAGGCAAGGGATAACTATCAAGAGTAGTTATTGACAAGAATGAACATCCCTCCAAACCGAGATCTTGGCAGAACTTGGTTTCCTCGCACCAGAAGCAGAGTGCTGTCTGTATATGGACAATGCTTAGGCCATCTCTCATCTAGCTACTAATCACACTCATTAGCTCGTCTTCTCTCGTAAAGCATTGAAAAGATGAAACAAGCCTGTCGTGCTTACACCGTTTTATATAATTGCCTGCCCATGACTTTGGATCGAATCAGCCAACCTCTTGGTTGACAGTTGTGTGACGATGTGCAAACAAATGAGATTATGGGGTCTACAGTCCGGGATAGATGGTTTATGCACTATGGGAAACAGAAGATGGGCTCGCTAAATCCAGCCATTGATAAGTAAAAGAGATATGCAAGGAGCAGGTAAGTTGCATTGGCCATCATTGAACAATCGGGCAAGCCTCACATGTTGGCTTTCAGACAGTAGTTGGGCCGAGAGAGTACAAGCACAAGAAGTCCCTAAAACTCGTAAGCGGATGTGAGAGCACAATTTCCACCTTAACCCTTGAAAGGCAAGATCTCGGGTTAACCTAATATGTTGCTATTATTTGGAAGACCTAATATGCGACGGCAGGAATAGATCCTCTTGGGGTGTTTTGAGACCAAGGCCGATCATTGACATTAGTGGGAAACCTGATCCCATCAGCATTTCCGTGGACAACCATCGCGGTTAAACAGACACATTGTCTACTTCTTCTTGTCGCCACCTCAGATTCTGCTTCTGCCCCGAGTATCTTTGACGACGTCGAAACCAGACCAATTGTCTAATTTCTCCCGGATTTCATCCGCATACTGCGGAACACCCCCTGAGAAATTGACCTGCTCAAATGCCTTGCCCGGAACCGACCCGCCCATGTACGTCGAACGTGTGGTGGGGAACAAAGTCGCATCACTGAGGGCGTTGATCCTTTGTTTCCAAGCCTTGGTAGCTTCTGCGGTGGGGTTGATGTACTTGATATGCTCCCGCTCGATCTTGCGGATGCAGTCCGCGATCCAGCGACCTTGCACCTCGACGGTCGTGGGTCCATTGCTGAGAAGAGTCGGGCCATGCGGTCCATACAGGTGGAACATATTGGGGTAGCCACTAATCGTCGTGCCGAGATATGTGTTTGCCGCCGCTTTCCACTCGTCCTGGAGGTTGGTGTTGTTGATGCTCCTCAGACCCATGTTTGTCATACCTCCAGTGGTGATATCCTAGAATCTGCAAGTCAGACAACGTGTGAAAGTAACTTTGCATGGTCAAGGCTGAGGGTTTTGCATAAGCGGAACGAGCTGTGATTGCTGGCGGAGACAGAGAACCAGGCGTCTTACAAACCCAGTGGCAATTGCAACCACATCGAACTCATAGTGAGTCCCGTCCTTCAACTCGATGCCAGTCTCGGAGAAACTCGAGATTTCATTCTTGCTTACGTCGATCACATCCACGTTGGACTTGTTGAACTGTTCGTAATAATTCTGCTCCAGGCATGGCCGCTTGACGCCAAAGAAGTGAGGCATCTTGTCAACTGTCGGCGCCAAGATGTCTCTCTTTCTAGCATCTCCGATTCGAGCGCGGACGTTCCGAGACCAGAAATCGTAGGCTTTCTTGTTTGCATCGGCGTTGGAGAGCATGTCTTTGTAGTTGCCGAGCCAGTACCTGAACCCACCGCGGTCCCATAGAGACCTATAAAATGCCTCGCGCTCCTCCGGGGTATCATCAAATGTACCTCGCTCGATCATTCCGTAAACGAATCCGCCGAAGCATTTCTCGCGGAGGTGGAATAGGCGCGGGTACCATGACTTGCCATTATTCTGCTCCTGCGGTGTAAGGGGCCGCTTGCCCATAGGCAAGGCCAAGTTCGGAGTCCTCTGGAAGACTTTCAATTCCCCGTGTTGACCAACGGCTTGTCCCCATTCTTGCGCGATCTGAACGCCAGAAGCACCAGTCCCGATGACGGCACATCGCTTGCCGCGTACGTCTACTTTTTCTTCGGGCCAAAATGAGGAGTGGTGCACAATTCCGCGGAAGCTTTCGATGCCGGGCCAATTAGGAATGTAGCGCTTTGAAGCCTGTATACGTACCGGGGTCAACTTTTGTGAACTGTAACGCTATTTTCGAGTTCGCCACTCACAAATCCAGCAGCAACGACAAAGTACTTGCTCTTGGCCAGGCGGCCGTCGGCAGTCTTGATGTGCCATTTACCTTCGTCGGGCTGGAACTGGGCGCCGACCACAACCGTCTCGAAGGAACAGTCTTTCGATATGCTCAGGACCTGTGGCATATGATGTCAGTCGTATTCTGAATGTCACGGTTAGCCCGGCACAGGAAAGTCTGCGACTTATCTCACTTTATCGACGTGGTCAAAGTACGCTCGGAGCTCCTGAAAATCGGGGTAGTTGGTCGACCAGATCCAATCCTTGAAAGCCTCGGGCCATGAAAACTCATACTCCGGAACCTCGGAGTCAACGCGCGCCCCAGGGTATCTATTCCATCTCCAAGTGCCTCCAAGATTAGTGCCGGCTTCGTAGATTATGGCTCGCAGACCCATCTCACGAAGGGTTTTGAGCATGAAGACCCCCCCTAGGATCACGTACCGAAGTTAGCATAGACCGGATGTTTGATATGAAATAGGGTTACCTACCAAATCCACCACCAACTATGAGAACATCGACGTCGAGGTTATCAGCATAAGGGCCGGTTGTTCGATGTCGCGAAGCATACTCTGTCAGGTCGGTCGCGATCTTTTTCTGTTGCTTGGACAAAGTCATGATCGTAGAGTTTAGAGTTTTTGTTCGGGTTGAGCAAATGCGATGATAAAAGGGCAAGAGAACAGAAGGCAGGAAACTCCCATGCGCCAAAATGTCTTCTTTTCAGGAGATCGAAAGAGACCGTAGCAGACTTGAAGCTTTATATAATCCAATGAACATCACATATGCGGCCCCTCCTTGTTTCGTATGCGACGATACTTTGTGACATCAGACGATGGACGCCATTCTGTTTCGACTATTGCCCAGTGCTACACCATCTTCTCCTGCACTGGTTCTAGCTGAGCAGACATGACGTTTTGCAGCGGAAAAAACCCCGAGCCCCAAGGATGCAGCAGTCGCGGTCAGATCGACATGCTACAATGCTGAGCAACTTCTAACACAGGCCGCACCGAGACCCGATGACGGGGCTACGTCCGCTTCGTTGCCATGTGTAATGGTTAATCCCATATCAACCGTTGAAGCTCGATATGCGGTGAGGGTCAGGTCATGCTCTAGAATAGCACCGACCTTCCCTCTTGGTCCAAGAAAATAATTTTACAAAACCAATAGTTCCGCGGATCCGCAAGTTTATCGCATACGGGATGCAACGGGAATGCGGTGGTCGCGCATGCCACATCAGCAACATTGCGGATCCGCAACTGTCGTGCCACCTCAACCCCCCCCTGAAGGGAACCAAATTCGCGTATTGCGGTTCATGGAGAAACCCCATAGGCAGCTCAGCTAATTGACTTCGGGACAATTATATCTATGTAATGACTGCTGAGGTTCCCGCCGGTTACGAAGTTGTCTTCCAGGTTCGCTTTTCCTAGCTTCGTAGCCAAGCCGCGCTAAATAGAGCTGGGCATGCATATTCAACCGGAGTAAGACAAGAAATAGACAGCTGTCGCAAGGCTACAGGCATCACATACCAGGCCTAAATGCGCGCTGTTTCTTCTAGATCTATCATGGGGCATCTCATGTGCTAGAGAGCATATAAATACCGCATATGTGTGGGCACATATATTAGGCCTATAAGAACACACCTACACCAGGATCCCAAAAGTTAGTGTTTTACTTGTCAACGAGATATAGAGACTGATTGGCAGGTAACTGTACTTATAATTAGGTGGAAAAGAGCCAAATCTAAGTACTAGCAATGAATCCTCCTACCTTATTCTCAATTACTAGGTTAGAGTGTGCCAGCTGCTCTAGCCATTCTAAAGGTATTGCCTCCCAAGCAGCCTAAATACCTACTTGTAGCAGTGTAGAAATAAAGTCATATTCACAGCTAGTACTAGTACTTAATTTAGTACTAGAAAGAACTATAAAAGAAAGGACTATTACTAGACCTCTGAGGCGGGGTAATTCACTGCATTAACCTTTGGGTCGGCCATAAAATGAGGAGTGTCTGCTCCGAACTTTTATTCCTCTAAGATTCAACTCCTTTGGCTTCAGCTTTCGTCTCATCATCGGCTTACCATCCTCCGCTGCAACACCGCTATCTGGAGACCACAATACATTCAACCAACCATGCCCTTTTCAGCACAAACTGGGGACGAGATCAAGAGCATAGTAGAAAATGCAGTAGCGACAGACTCCAACCCAGTTCCTGGCGCGACTGTGGTCGTTGTCGACCGTACCGGCGCCGAGCAATTTGCTTACTCTGCAGGGAAAAGAGGAATATCTTCCGGAGAGCCCATGACCCTGGACAATGTATTTTGGGTTGCCTCATGCACCAAGATGATAGTCGGTGTTGCGTGCATGCAGTTGGTCGAGAGGGGACTGCTTAAGTTGGATGATTCGCAACAGCTCGAGAAATTATGCCCAGAACTGGCCGATATCAAAGTCCTTGGCGCGGAAGGGAAACTCGTCGATAAGGTGCGGGGAATCACTTTACGCATGTTACTGACGCATACGGCTGGGTTCGGATACACTTTATTCAATACAAGACTCCGTGATTGGAGTCTTCCAGCCGGGGTTGACGAGTTCTCGGGAAGCATTCGAGACATGGTCCAACCTCTCCTATTTCAACCAGGGGAAGGGTGGGAATACGGGGTAAGTTGCAACCGCGCAGGTACATTTACGGAAACATGTCCAATCCAAGCATAGGTTAATCTTGACTGGGCCGGCATCGCCCTTGAACGAGTCACAAACACTAGTCTCAACGATTACATACAGACCAACATTTGTCAGCCATTGGGACTTCAAAATGTCAACATGTTTCCAACACCCTCAATGAAGGCACAGCTAGCCTACATGCACCATAGACGACCGGACGGCGAGATTGTTGCCCGAGACCACCTTCTTCATCGCCCGCTCATTGTTCAGTCGGAAGAAGAAATCCGTCAGTGCTTCAACAGCGGCGGCGCCGGCATCTTTGCGAAACCACAGGAATATGGCCGTGAGCGTGTCCCCGCACCCGCTGTTTTGCCATACTGACGCGATAGCTCCGCAGGTATACTGTCAGTGTTCTTGAACGATGGAACTTGCCCTATAACCAAAGCGCAGATATTAAAGAAGGAGACGGTGGACGAGATGTTTACGAACCAGATATCCAAGTTTCCCAACTTCTCCAGGCAAGGCCTTCGGGATGCCAAGCCGGAGTTGACCAACAATCTCCCCGAGCTCTACACGATTCCCGGAAACCCGCCTCAAGGTTGGGGACTGACGTTTATGATCACCGGCGGAACAACCGGACGGTCCGATGGTACGGCTTGGTGGGCGGGACTGCCAAACCTCTTCTGGTGGTGCGATAGAGAAAACGGAGTGGCTGGCATTGTGTGTTCTCAGATTCTTCCATTCGGGGACCCTGCCGTGTTCGGATTATGGTCCGAAGTCGAAGCCGCGGTCTACAGAGGACTCGGGATTTCGGACAAGATAGCGTAACGCTTGGCTCAAAGTATGGCCAGGTTATGCGATGATTGGACATTCGCCCATAAACCTTAAAATCCTCGATACGTACCATATGATTTTAGGTATGAGATCGTTTACTACTTTTTCATCTGCTCAATGCGATTCATTGTGACTCGACTGCCAAGGTTTCTAGAATAAAAGCAAAGATACGAAGAAGGACTTAAGGCACTCGGTTGATCCCTGTCTAAATCAATATCTGGCCAGTGAAGCTCGAGGACGACCTGTCATGCTTCATCTTAACTCAATAAGATTTAGTCTGATGAGCTTCGACTAAGATCCACCACCCCAGGAACCGATCGGCGGGGACAAATCACATGCACCCCTCTTGCTGGGAGGAGGACGCGGGGTCGACAAGCACTTCCTCGTAACAATGCCGTTGGATGGCGGGAACTGCGGCAACTCACAATGGAACTAGCGGGGGGGGGTTGGCACAAGAGCCACTCTGTGAGCAAATCTCACTGTTTCGATCTCAACTTGACTAAACTCCTCTCCGCCATATCGCTGCTTTCAACGTCCACGGGCCGAATGCGACGACCATAGGCAGACGCAATGAGAAGGCAGAACAGCAGCTGTGACCAGTGCCGCAAGGGCAAAAGGGCCTGCGATGCTGGTGCACTCAAGGACATTCAGCTATGCCTGAACGCTGATTTACAATATCAGATTGGTAAATCACCCAAACGCTGCCTGATCATACAACGATGAGGCTCGGCTAACACTTGACGATAGATTGGCAAGACTCAACCGTGTCATGTTCTAATTGTACGAAGACTCGAAAGACCTGCACGTTCAACTGGGTTCGGTCGCAGCAAGTCCAGATCCATGAAAGGCGGCAAGCTTTTGAGAATACTGGTTTACCTGATCGCAAACGGTTCAAGTCGGACGATGAGACGGAATCGCCTCCAGCAGGGGAGCTAGGTGAACCCCATATGGGGGGGTTTCAACCGACCGCTCCCAGCAGTACTCTCAGCTACTTGGATGCCGAGTTACCTGCCATTCCCAACTTCCCGGCGGCGATGGACTCTCAACCATCTCCGAACTTCTTTTCTTCGTCTCCTAGTGACCTGTCATTCGATAGCTCGTCGTTGATATTCCCGTCCTCTTCGGCATCAGTCCGCAGCTTTTCAGATGTACTTGACCTGGATCAGACCGAGAGTTCTTCTTCCAACAGCAACTCGATATCGGGCCTCAGTCCAGCTGCTACCTTGGACATAGTGAAGAAGACACGAAAACGGTCTTGGCGCCCGCAAAGGTTTCCCACCTCTGCGTACTCCGGAGTATCCGACTTTTCGCCTACGCAAAGAATGATCGCCCGAACAAACAACGGCTTCATGACGGATAACCTCATGCGGCTTTACCATGACGTTATGGAAGGCGCGCTATCATGCTGGTTAACAGAGCAAAACTGTCCTTACCTGCCCCTGGCCAAGGCCGCGAAACCCCCGAGTTTGACAGACACTCCGTCACATGCGTTCACCTCAGCGCCAACGAACCTACCAAACAGGATTTTCAAACGCGTCGTCAAGCTCGACAAGTCTCTCGGGTCCCTTGGGATTAAACCGTTGAGCAGTTTGGAGGATAAAAAGGCCACAAAGGCGCTTCACCTCGCGATCATGGCCTTCACCGCACAGTGGGCACAGGGAAGCCAGAGGAGCCAAGAGCGATACCAACAGGGAAAAATGTTCGGCGAAGACCTCATTTCGAGTGATTTTGGGGAAGAGTTTGACACGACGCTTCAGGTGTCGTTCTGGCATCAGGCCAGGAGATGCTTGGACGACTGTGCCGGGATCGGCTCATTCAAGGTTGCTCTGGCGGAATTGATTTTCGGCCTCACCCAGAAGCATACCAAAGAGCCGGAATGGGACGAATACGAACTTGATCAGTCCATGCCGGGCCAGAGCGAGGAGATGGGGGGCGAGGGGTCTTTCACAGCAAGCAGGGTCCAGAGGGTTTTGGACGAAGACGGGTACTCAATCTACCTCGAACGCGCCGCCAGAAGGCTCCATGTCCTCAAATATCAATGCGAAAGTTTCGAGAGGAAACAGAAGAAATCCAAAGAGAAGCAGCAGGCCGGAGAGGATGAAAACACGGAAGAGAAAGCGACCATGAAAATGGTCTACTGGATGGCCATTATGTTCGACACACTCTCGGCCGCCATCGCGGAGAGGCCTCCCACGGTATCGGACGAAGACAGCAAAGAGAACGGCATGCAACTAGCCGTGGCGGGCACACACGAATACTTCTCTTCGATATCGGACGATGAACGGTGGAACGACCGGAACATCATCAAGAGAGATCCGAATTTGGCCCCGTTACGATTGCCCTGCTCCGAAGAAGCCATCTCGAAGGAGCTCATCGACGCGGCACCCGTCAAGGTTCTTTTGTTCCGGAAGATCACGCGGATGCAGAGCCTCTCGTCTCGAGGGGCGAATCAGAGCGCGGTCGAGGATGCCATCCAAGAAGGCCTGGCGGTCTATCGCTACTGGGACGTGACTTACTTGCCAATATTCCAGGACTGTCTTCAGAACCACAACACGCTGCCGCCAAAGATCCAGAGCTGGTACGTGCCTCTCCTCGGACACTGGCTGCTCGCCGTGATGATAATGGCGGACTGCATCAAACTCCTGGACGAACAGCATCAGAGCTCGCCCCTGCGAGCCGAGGAGCGCGCCGAGACCGGGGCGATTGACCACCTCCGGCGGACGGGCATGTGGGCGGTCTCTGACCTCGCAAGGGCTTCGACGCCGCGGGACGACGACATCGGGAGGTTGACGAGCTATCACCCGGCGGTGAACGAGGGCGCCTTGCTGACCGAGCCTTGGACGATGGTCTTGATCAGATCCTTTGCGACGGCCGGCAAGTCGTTTCTCGATGACGCGGCCGAGGCCGGCAACGCGGGCCTTTCCGAGTACAGCTCGCGCCTGGAGATGCTCGGCAGATGCGAAGACTGTGTCAAGGCCCTGTGGTACCTGGGTCGGAAGTCGAGCATTTCCCGGCAGGTTGCGGGGATTTTGAGGGCCGGGTTGGACGCCGAGCGGTCCAAAGTATTCAATCTCGAAGGAGGCGCTGCGGTATATGATCCGTTGGCAACATTCAGCTCAGTCGTTGGCTTCTGACCGAAGGTGGGGAGGATCGGATTTCGGAAACGGAGATATAAAGAAGAAGAATTGCCTTGAAAAGGTTGTGAGACTCGGAAGCAATGATCTGAAGTGGTTCCCGTGATTGTCAGGAAATTTGTCCCGTGAGGTTGTCGTAGCATCATCGACCAACCCTGAAGATTCAACATCGACATCTGTAGGAGAAAATACCACAAAGTCGTATCTTGCCCACGGCAGAGGGTACTTGTCAAAGAAGGCAAGCAGTCCTCAACTCAACCATATATATAGACCGAACGGTTCTGGGTTGTAATGTATTGGACGTCTTATGGTTGAGTGTGTGATCGCAGAGAAATGAGAACGAATCTGTCAAGCATCTCGATAGACGGACATCATGATGTATACCAGAGGCTTTTCTCGCTTTTTACTGCGGGAAAACCACGGTTGGCGCCACAATAAAGTCTTGGATAGATAAGACAAGCGTATGATTCCAATAGCTCTCTAAGAAAAGGGTCTGAGTGGGACCCGTGGAGCTTCTCTAATATATTCTCAGCCCATGGGGAAGAAGTCCTAGGCAATATTTCTGGGCTTCGGCAGCTCTGTTTGAGCCACTTGGATAGGGCTATAAGCACAGTCAGGGCCATAATTAGCCAATAGATTCTCGAGATGGGACATTTTGTTTTGGAGGGTTGTTTTTGTTGTGATTATTGAGGTGAAGAACAGACGGCGATATAGCCACAGCAACAGGCACTGGGTATAGTAACTAGGGGAGTCATCCCCGAAAGCTCTAGGGGGTTCGGTATCTTAGTGGAGTTCCTCCAGGTGGTTATTTTCCTCAAGGGCGGTCTGCATATACGGTGACCGGGCGTTAATATAGGTCGAGTGCGCGGCCCTGTGTCAGCCTTACATAGTGAGACGAGATCGTCCGCTACGCGCGTTTCAGCAGCGCCGACAGGCATGTTACCTATGTTCGGCACTCTCTAAAAGCAACGCCTGCCCGGTTAGTGGTACGAAGGCCGTAGACATGCCCCAAGTCCCTTTTCTCGGCGGTATACTGGGTACCTTTCGAGCGGCGTGTGCTGATTATCTAACCGGTACACGCTGTAAACCCTCCAGGGGCTGTTTTCTCACGCTCGCCAATGTGCTGTCGGTGACTTCCGGCCGGTTTCGGTGGAGCCCGTACGTCGGCAAGACTGGCCGGCCAGGTTATTCCGCCGAGCACGGACGTCGGGCGGGGTGGGCCAAGGAAAGTATCGGTGGCCTTGGCGGTGGCGGCCGGGACGGTTCCGGGGAGGGCACATGGAGGCTAGGCGGAGCTGGCGGAGTGGGTCGAGGGTGCTAGGGAGAAGATGGCATGAAGGAGCTGATCATGTCATATCTGCTATCCGTCACGGAGAGCGGGGATATGGATGGTGTTCCCATTCACGGAGGAGCAAGACACGGTGACGGGTGTCTGGGAGATAAGGCTATACAGGCAAAAGTTTGGGGGGGGGGGGGGGGTGGCAGAAACAAAGATGCGAGTGGGCTGACTTTTGGGAATTTGAACCGCGTAAATGCGCTATGTACAGTAGACTGAACGGAGATGCTCCGCTCACGAAAGCGCGCAGGCGCTGTCTCACATCAAGCCTCGGCTCTGGCAGAGGAAAATTCTGCCACATGCCGTCCTCGTGATGAGCCCATCCTCCCCACGCTCGTCCCTCCTGTCTCGCACCGGAATCTGCTGGCGGCCGTCAATCACCGTGGTTGCTAGGTCTCTTCGTCCAGAGGGATGATGTCTGCTCCGTGCGGCTCAGTGTAGCGCGTCCGAGATACCTACATCAACCGGTGCGACGTTCGTGTTGCACTCCTAGGGGAGCTATTTGTCCCAGCGGGACAGGGGCTCGTTTCGTCTGCGATCATTCCATGCGCCCTTAGCATCATCTCATAATGGCGTGATCTTTGGTCCCTTTTCATATAATCGTTTTATTGTCCGTCCACGTCCGCAGCCCCGGAGGCGGCGGTGTGCGACCGCCCACACAGGCTCCATTAGGCCGTAGGATGAGTCTTAAGTGTATCGTCTCAACTTCAAGGCGGCGGATTCAAATGCTGTTGATTGTTCTCGTGCCGGCGCGCAGTTTCCGCGTTTTCATGCCGGTAATGTTGGGGTATCGTCGTTGGTGTCATAGCGTCGTACGTTTGCTGTTTGCTGTTTATCGCTTGTTGCTGAGGATGAAGGCCGGTCACTCGGACAGGGCACACTCAAATGGCGAGCCTTGATTACAAAAAGGTATATTCATGACAGCCCGCAGCACCACAGATGCAATATATGTTGGCATGGTGTGCCCAAGTATGTGGTAATGTGCTAGGCGTCGGCAAACCGAGGGCCTTCGATATAAACACCAAATGGGGGTATAAGAAATAGCCGACAATATAAAGACGGGCGCGAGAAGGTGGCCCTAGGTGGTCTTCTGCTTGGGGACGCCCTTGAACTTGCGAGTGATGGCAATGCCAGCGACGCCGGCGACCATCAGGGCTTCGACGCTCAAGAGGCCGACCCAGATGATGTTCAGAATCTGCTCCTCGTAGCCGCTGCCAATGTACATAGTCATCTTGTCATGGAGCATAGGGTAGGCGCCGGAGACGAAGAGGAAGACTTGGGTGAAGTAGAACGTGTACCAGTATGGGCTAGAGGAGGGGAAGAGCGAGAGACCACGTTAGTACAAACTGAAGAGGATGGGAAAAGAGCCGGCCGAGGCACCGGTCTTATACAACGGGGGCACGGGCACGGGCTTGCGCTTTGTTCTCGGTTGGGTGAAATTTGCAGTGTTTCCAGCCGTCCAAGGCTTGCGTGGATCTGGCCCCAAAAATAAGAAGAGCAAATTGCCGGGGTCCCACTAAACGCTGGGCGCATGGGAGAACCATGGGCGCTAAGAGAGTGGCCGGTCGAAGGCTACGCACTTGCGCTTTAGGACGGGGACTGATGTAATGCGGGTTGAAACGGTGGGCGCCGGGGTTTGAATGCAGAGGGAAGCAAGGAAACGACGGTGAAGGGAAGGGGGATGGAAGGGTGGGATATGGGATGGGATGGTTGGACACGATGTCGATCAATTGGGGGGGCGGTTCAGACGAGGTTTGATTGTTTAGATGACGCCTCGAGTGCTCCAAGCAAAGGGATCCGTGGGGCGAATGGGGGAAAAGCTAGGGAGAGGAAAGGAAAGGAAAGGAAAGGAAAGGACAATAAAGACACAGAATAAGAAGAAAAAAAGAAAACTCACCGGGTCTGGTCCGTCAAGCGCGTCCACTGAATGCGTCGGCGGTCGTCCTCGCCAACCTGGGATGCCTGAACCGCGACAATGATTCCGGAGAAGCAAAAGGTGACAAGGAACATCATGCGCTGGAAGAGGGTAACATGACTGTTAAAGTCAAGCAGGGTCTGGACAAGGGCGAGCATGGTGAAGGAAGCTTGTTTGGGGGATGAGTGGCGGCGGGGATCGTGGTATGTTGGCGTCAGCGGTGAGACATAAGAAGAGGCGAAGAGGCAAAAAAGGATCCTTGGACACGTATTCTAGGGTGGGAAAAATGCTTGAGCTGAATGCGCCTTGGTTGCAGAACTGGGCAGACAGGTTGCAGTACCGGTAGTGGTGTGTTGGGTGGGAAGGGGAGCGGATAGGCGCAGTAGTTGCGGTGTGACGGCGTCGAAGAACTGCAGGCGTGACAAGGCCACGAGGACAAGACTGAAAGGGACGGACGGGGGGGCTGGGGACTAGGCGTCTTTCTCGGGGTTGATGGCTGAAGTTGGTGTTTGTTGGTATTGGTGTTGGTATATGAGGCGGGCAGAGCTGAGATGGTGCGGGTTAGAGATTGAATTGCGGTTACACAACCGTTTCGGCGTCAGGAACAAAGATGCTTGGTGGGAAAAAAGAAAAGAAGCCACAACCAAGACAAGGCAAGACCAGACGGGAGGAATGTGTAGGTAGTGAGTGGAGGAGAAGCGGGGTCGAGTAAGCAAGGAATGGCAGGAAAAAAAAGAACCGGGAAAATGCACGAGATTAAACAAAATTAAACGAGGGTCCCCACTCCATGTCTTATCGCGCTCCACGTGTCCTTATCGGCGACGCCAAACTAGGCGGCACAGGTCCTCGGCTGGCGGGCCTGGGAAGCCGGCCTCAGGGAGTATCCACCGACGCTGCGCTGCCAGATCCACACCACACTATCCGCTTAGGCCATTGTCCATTTCCGGTCCAGCCAAGTCCATGGGCCTTCTGCCTTGTGGTACGGATATATCCGTAGTAATACTGCGTAGTATCCTATCCGTACAGGTACTTCGTACAACGCAGGCCCCTCCTCCGCACCTGCCTTAAGCGAGGGAACAAATCTCCGGCCAAATTGCATGATTGTCTTTCTTCATGCAGAAGCGTTCCGGGCGTCGACATCTAATCTTGCATCACTAGCTATATCTGTCAAGATTACGGGTTGCACTTGTACCACTCTGCCAAGCGTCTTGAAACTGCCTGATGGGACCGTTGATACTGTGGCCAACACGCGGGGTAGACACCGGCCCAGGTGCGGCACGAGCTCCTCCGATGTGGGGCTTCCAAGAGCCACCTGCCTCCGTTCGCCGCAACGCGACTACTTCGTTTGTGCCATGCTTGCCCACGTAGGTACGTACCTGTGCTTGCCTTGTCTACCTTTGGTAGGTTAGGTAGATACCTACCTATCGCTTAACTTGACACCTTCCCTTCCCTTCCCTTCCCTTCCCTTCCGGCAAATGGATGATATCTGGAAAGTGCACTCGCCTTACGCCTTCTCTTCCAAATCTTAGTCTTAGGTAAGCGCTTCCCACAACATCCACCATGTCTCTGGAATGCCCTTTTTGCCACACAGATTTCCCTTTCCGTTGAAACATGCTTCCCTAGGCAGCCGGAACAAGAGACGCGTTTCACCACGGATTTGCAATCACGTTGGTGGAACCCATGTGTGTGTCTGGGGGAACCTCACCGGACAACGGCCCGTCCCGGCATTCCAACCATCGGCTAGCTTCACCTTCTCATCCCTCAAGACAAGCCGCGGGAACACCTAGAAAACCCCAGCGCTTGACCCCTTTTCAGCATCTACCGGAGAGATGAGAAATCCTTGGTTGTCTTGTTGCACCATTTGGTAGGTGACGTCGGATGCCCGTGTGTCCTTGGCGTAGGCCCGGCTCGGGTTCCTTGTCAACACTGCTCCATGAAGCATGGCAAACGTAGACATGCGCTAATGGTCGACTTGGAATGCGGTAATAGATTTGGGACGACTAGCCGTTGTAGTAGCAACGTGAACCAGTCGCAATGGACTTGGACGTTTAGAACGAACCACTGGTGGCTATGATGAATAATGACGACTTCGGCTTTCCTCGGCAAGAAATGGAAGAGCTTCCGAGACCAACTCCAGCTGCCTCGAAGTCAGCCCGCGTCCCATGGTAAAGGCCGTGCACATTGTGAGCGGCTCGATCGTGGTCGGGTTCCTGCACAAGACCGGATATCTAGGTAGGGCAATCGGACGACCGCTTGTGCTGTTCTGTGACTGAGGCCTTAAGACTTAAGCTTCCTAATTGTAATAAACCGCAGCGTCTGATCACATTAGAGAAAAAGTAGTTAATTCTTCTAAGTCTAACTATAAGGAGAAAATTAGGTAGAAATAGTCCTCCTAAAGTAGGCCTGTTAGTTAGTATGCTACTCCTGTGGCGCCTACTACTAGTTCTAGCTATATAAAGCTGTCCTAGCTTTATAATACACCCCCTTAGTTATAGATAAATATCTATAACTAGTTCTTAAAGTTAATATTTTTAATTATAAAAAGAAATTAAAGTAATTATTAGTTAATAAAGGCCTTATTAGGCTATACCTAGCTAATAAAGTAAATAACTTTATTATATAAAGGTCTTTTTAGTACTATATCTTATTATTTTTTTTAGTTACTTTTTTTATAGTGTTATTCTTACTTATTTAGGTAACTACTAGTTAATATCTTACTTATTAATAAATACCTTTAGATTTCTTACTAGCTAGCTTTTTTTTTAACTAATAAATTAATTAATAAGGTAAGTAAATATCTTAGCTTTATTATATATTTAAAGTTATTTTTTATTTTATTTTTATAGTTATAAGCTTATTTTTAAGATAGCTAATAAAAGTAAAAAGCTGACTAAGATATTATAAGTAAAAAGCTAACTAAGAATAGCCTTTAAAAAGGCTATAGTACTTAATAAGTATTTTAATATATAACTTAAGTTATTTAGTCTTAACCTTTTTACTATTTTTATAATTTACTTTATAGCTTATAATTTATTTTAGCTTATAAATCTTTAGTAACCTTAGTATAAACTACTTAATAGCTATATCTTTTTAACTTTTAATATAGTTTTCTATTTATACTTATAGTTAGAAGTAATATCTAACTAATAGCTAGCTACTAAATTAATTACTAGCACTAGTTTAACTAATAAGAATATATTTAGTATAGTAACTTTTAGTTAAAATATAGACTAGTTTATTAGTCTAGATAATAATTTACTTATAAATAAGTTAAAAAAAAAGATAAGCCTCTTTTTTAATTATTACTTTAAGTAAAACTTCTTTAATAGTTTATACTATAATTAAAGTATATAATAATATTCTTTAGTAAAAAAAGTTATATAGTAAGTACTAAATATATTTTAATTAAGTAATTACTTTATTTCTAACTTATAAGTAAATCTTAAGCTATTAGCTACTACTTTTATTACTTTAGCTAATTCTTAAATAAAAATAGTTAATCTAGATAGCTTTAAGCTTATAAAAGGTTATTATACTACTAAAAAGAAAAGCCTAAAGTATTTTAAGAAAACACTTTAGAAATTATATTATTAAAGGACTTAGTTATTTAATACTATTTAGGTGCCTAATACTAACTAGACCTTAGTTAGTAATAGTAATTTACTTATTTTTTATTTAATAATAAAGATATAAATAGTAATTTAAATAAGTTTAGTAAGTTAGATATACTACTTAGTCTTAAAGAAGAGTTTAATTTTCTTTTTAAGAAGAAAAGTATAAAGTAAAAAAAGGCTTTAAAAAGTAGCCCTTACTAACTATAAAAACGTTATATAGTTAATACTAATAGTAATCTAGTTCTTAAGAAAGGTCTATACTATAAGGTTATTTACTTAAGCTATCTTAAAAGCGTTATTTATAGCTTTTCTTAAAGTAAATATATTAATATAAATAAAAAAAAGTCTTATAAGTGTTATATTAAAAATAATATATCTTATATTACTTTTTTAAGTAAAATAGTTAAAACTACTAATAGTTTTATATATTATACTTATACTAAAGAGGTAAAAGCGTCTATAAGTTTATATAATCTTTACTTATTTTAACTTTTAAAGCTAATAATTTATATAGTAACTTAAGTTTAAGAGTTAGTTCTTATATAATAAAATTATAAAAATAAATACACTTTATAAAAAGTAAAAAGTAAAGCTAAAGTTAGCTAGTATAGTTATTACTATTAATTTTACTAGCTATAGATTATATAATTTAAGTATTTACTTATTTAGTTATAAAGGTTTTACTTTTATATAAAAAGTTAAATATAAGTAGAATTAGGCTTTACTTAAGAAGTAAAAGGTTAGTTAAAAGGCTAGTCCTATATATACTACTTAGAAAATTACTTTAAAGTTATTTTTTAGTACTACTTATAGTAAGAACACTAGTTTTATTTTAGGCTTTAAGGCCTTTCTTAACTTATTTAAGAAGGCTATTTATAATAAATACTAATAGTCTTCTAGATTATTAATTATAATATAAAATTAGTATTTTAGTTTATATAAGAAAAGTTTTAAGGTTTAGTTTTATAAATAGAAGAGGTTCTTATTTTAGACTATTAGGATTCTTTTTAAGAAAAGATTTTATTTTATTTAGCTAGTTTAAGCTAAGTTTTTAAATATAAAATTAACTTTTTAGATTTATCTTACTAGTTAGTCTATTTATTTTAAGATAATATTATATATATTAGTTAGGTTAAGTAAAAAGTAAAAGTGTTTAAACTTTATATATAAGAGATTATTTATAAGTCTATTAGTTAGTATTTTACTTATAGCTATATATATAATATTAAAGCTTCTTTTAGTAAACTTTTATTTTAACTTTATATTCTAAATATTTATATATTATAGTCTTATTATAAGCTATCTTTTTTATTAAATAACTAATTAAATAGTTTACTAGTTATTATAGTATATTTACTATTTATCTCTTATAGCTACTTAGAAGTCTTAAAATAATTATTTAAGTACTATTACTTTTTTTACTATTTTTTTAAGACTAAGAAGTTCTACTTTAGTAGTAAATATAGTTATAGTTACTTAGTAAGTAGCTTTTTACTAGATTACGCCTTTAAAAAGTAGAAAAATATAACCTTATAAAGATTTTT